CTCTTCGCATGGCAAATGTTTGTGTAGTTTTAATAAATAGGACTTCATTATATGCAAGTTGTATGCGTTTGTGTAGACAGAATACTTAGGACTTTTTTTGTTCAATTTTCTTTTCTTAAGAGCAATGAGAGCTGTAACATATAAACATTTTCAACCTTTCAACATAGGATGTCCACTGGAATGGGTGGTATGGCACCTGCAGCATCAAGTGGGATGAACACTTACAGCCAAGGCCCCATGGCCCCTAGTGGTGTGGCCCCTGGACAACACCAACAGTCTTACATGACAGGCCCCCCCATGCAGTTACGGCAACAGGTGATTAAATTTTGATCATGCTTAAAAAGTCAAGCATTGGATTCAAATGAGCAAAGTATGGGCCACCTTGCCATTTAAAAATGCCGCCTTACAGATAGGGTTTAACTTTAAGCAGAGCTGTCCAAGGGGGATAACTTTAAGCAGTGCTGTCCAACCTTTTTTGACTCGGTGAGATGACAAAAATAATTATTTTCCGCGATGCTGAGGGTCACTCAGGACATCTCAAAAAGAAAGATTTTTCTGAAAATTATTTAATTCATTAATTCTTCTCACCTTGTACATGAAGAATCATATATATATATATATTCAATAGCATTATTGGCTTATCAATAATATAACCAAAGCTAATAAAAAAAAAAAAAGTGTGGCGCTTGTTTAATGAGATATTTTCTTTTGATACGTACTTAATTTTTTTTTATTTTAAATATTTTTCTGAATATTATTTAATTCATTAATTCTTCTCACCTTGTACATGAAGAATCATATATATATATATATTCAATAGCATTATTGGTTTATCAATAATATAACCAAAGCTAATAAAAAAAAAAAAAGTGTGGCGCTTGTTTAATGAGATATTTTCTTGTGATACGTACTTAATTGTTTCTTAATTTGAGGTAGTTTTCAGTAGCCATTGGCCTCATTAGATTTTATGTTCACCAGTCAAAGATTTACATTTTCTGGACTTTGTTAGTCATTACATAGGATCCAACTTCACTTACAAAGGTACTTCCACAGACATGGTCAAAATTTCACTCACAAATTTGTTGTGGAGGTTCATCTGATAAAACGTGTCATTTCGGAATTCATTTGACCACGCATGCTTATGTTTATTTTAAATAAACACATTCTAGAATCATTCCTATTGTCTCTGAAAATTCCTAACTGATTGAAATGCAATAACTTAAAAAAACACAGCTTTTATCCTGCTTTCTACTTATTGAACGTCTCATACACAATACAGGATTGACACACACTCCCATACCCGGCTAGACTACCCGTTAAAATAACATGGTACTATAAATGGTTCTCACTGCCCAATGTAGTCATTTGTGACACCTTTAGTACCACAGATAAAATCTCAATTACTTTGACCCCAAGTTTTTCCTGTCATAATTATTATCATCCTACAAAATACAGTCACTAACCTATTTCATCTAATTTGGTCCCGTTGGTGGGGGCATGGACTTTTGCACGATGACCAAATAGCTAAACATAAAGTTACTTTGGGTTTCCCAATTAATCTATCCCAAAGCCATTAGTAATTATAACTGCTACCCCTTGATGCATCCCCTGTACAAGCAACAGAAAGAAGAAGACAGTATCCAATTTCATGTGACCTCATGTTCCTGGATGGTTGCTCTGCTGACTTGCTTAACATAAATTACTGTTACCTGTCAAGCCATCCTACTCCTTAGCTTTTAGTGACTTCCCTCTTTTCCATGTTACGGCTTCTTCTGTTCTCTAACATGATTTCCCAAACATACAGAAACAATGAGTGTCGTTTGAAAATACTTTCACCTTAAAATTTCATGTTTCTTACACACATCATAAAAATTTCTCGGGCTGGCCGTTTAAAATCAGTTCGCGGGCTGCATGCGGGCCACAGGATTGGACAGAACTGGTTTACAGTTTATTTGGGGAAAAGCAGTGTACCTCCAAGCAGATCCGAGATCTAAGACAGTGATTGGCTTAAATCAGCAACCTTAAGATAGTATTCTAACATGCTACATGGCAAGCATTTCATGACTTCAAATGTTCTAATGATACCTGCTATATGGCTGTTGTGCTCCATGTGACATGGGATTCTGGCATACTTATGTGCCAATCTGATATATTATGTTGGCCTTACATATTATTAGCTTATGGACATAAAATAACCCATTTTATTTGATGTGGCTCCTTGTCTAGTAATTGCTTATAAAGTATCACCTTATGAGAGAAATAACAAATTATTGGGCCATAGACATAAAATACATTCTTTTCATATAGTAAGGCCCCTTACATACTGTTGTGCCATTGCCCCTGCTTTATTAAGGGGCCACTGACTTCCTCAATATAAGTACAATAAATATAGTGTTAGAATTTTATATTGTTATCTCTCTTACTTTCAATCTTATAAATATAAGTATATCTTTTTTTTTTTTTCCCTTTCAAATTAAGTTTAAAATGTTTTAATTTAAGTTTCATGAGGAATATAAATTTCAAGCCATAACTATTTATAAATGTATAGTATATAAATGAATTAAGTTTAATGTTCCTTTTTATTATGCTTTTGATGTTAACCCTCCTTTTCATATCTTGATTGTATTGAAACAATAATTGTTTTCACATTTTTTCTTGTGTTATTGTTACAATGCTTGTAGTTATATCCAAAATTTAATCCCTCTGTCTCACAGATGATGTCACAGCCAGGAATGACACCCATGCAGGCACCCCAGCAAAGAAATGTGATGTCCATAAGAAGACTGTCAACAGGCATACAAGGCCCTCCCCAAGGACCAGGCCAGCAGTATGGCTCATACCCACAGTATTAGGCTTGGTGATTCCATTGTAACATTGTGTACCATATTGGTTTGACTTGATGGAAGCAAATCCATAACCAAAACAGCAATCACAACAGTACTTTTCACAAGGCCATTAGAAAACATAACTGTGTATTCTGAATTTTTTCCCTAGAAATCCAGCAATGCCAGTTATTTGTTACAAAATTAAATAGCAACAACTGCATAAGAGATGGCAAGTAATTTCCATGTTTATTAAATAAACTGATACAAATTTGGATTACACTGTATGAATGAAAGAAATTTACAAAATAATACATTTTTGTGTGAACAGTGTCCGGTAAGAAAGTTGATTGCATGCGTAGAGGCAAGTGCTAATTCTGAAAGAACGCTGAAAGAATATCTCAAAAGCATTAAAAAAGGAAATTTAAATGAAAATTCCTTGTGCTGCCACACCAAACAAGCATTCAGTCAAACTTGTGATCAGCTTTAAAGCTGTACCTAAACAGTATCATTCCTTGGTTAATATCATACCATTATCATATTACTATTTATCATGTTTACTTATCATGCCTTGTATGCATGGTGAACTCATTTATCCATTTACTACAATGGGCAAGGTACTTATTCTTTTGTAATATTTGATGACTAGATTTTGTGCAATAATGTGCAATGGTAATGGATTTTTCCATTGCATTTATGTAATGAATAATTAATGATTGATGTATAAATTTCATTGTGGACCTTTGTTGTTGTTTTTTTAAATTTATTAACTTAGCTCAGGAGTTAATAAGTTTCTTTGAATGAGGAGCCATTTCAATAAATCATATCTGCAAACAAAAATATTTTGGAAGCCCCAGGGAAGGGCCAACTGTTTAAATGTCAATATATAGATTATTAGCAAAATAAGAGATGCATCAATTCCTTCAAAGAGCTACAAGCGGCTCGGGAGCACCAGGTTGCTGACCACTGATCTAGTTTTTAAAAAAAATTTATAAAAATTTATAATAAAAGGATAATGAAAAGCTAGCATTTATATGTTGATGTTATTAAAGAGTAACAAACTTTATTTGAATAGTGGAATGTTTATATACATTTTGTTACTATTGACATGAATTTCAAACTGAGACATTAAACTTTGGACATACACGGTTTTATACAATTAATGAGATGGTAATCCATAAATAGTTGATCTTTAACCAAAAAACAAAAGCACTGCCTTTAAAAAAAAAAAAACATGTCCAGACTATTAGTATTGAATGCATACAACAAAACCATTGTTAAACTTGAAGTTTTAACCAGCCCTCACTAGGGATCGTTCGTATATGTAGGCATGCAAATTAACAAAATATTTATCTTTACTTTAAATTATTTTATTAAAACCATTTTTGTGTAACAGTCCATTAATTTAACAGGCCTAACGTTGTAGAATTCAATTCATTTTTTAAGGAACCATGTGTAAACGTAATATCGCATACCAAGTTAACATTGCATTATTGAGTTTTTACCATCTAATCTAGAGAACTACCAAGTATATTGTTTTTTAGATAGTAATCCAGGTTGAAGTAATTCCAAAACTTTAACTAATTGAGTCAGATTTACAGAAAAAGAATCCACTCTCATCTAAATTGTTGAGAACAAAATATTCAGTTAGGATTTTTTATAAACCTTTTCTCTAATCATTGAATCAATGTCAAATTCTTTGCCATCAAAAAAATTATTACAGTACCTATACCATTTAAGTGTTGTAACTTGAAATCTGAGAAACCTTTCTACAAATCAAAACATTTTAATATTATTATTATTTAGGAATGGGGCCTACTTTTATCAAAATAGCTCTGCTAAGTTAATAGATTTAGAACCCCATGCTATAGATAATCCTTTTTTCTACTAAAAATGGAGACCAGAAAAACAGAAATTTCTCATAGCTGCTTTCAGTTTACTGTGTGCATGTGAGTACTCATTAAATAATTTCATTGTTTCAGCACTTTTGTACATAAAGCTTGTATATTTCATAAAATGATCAGATGTGCACCATGATGGGAGATTCATAACATTTTGCTAAAATATGTATCATAGTGTATAAATGTTTCCTCTGCACAAGCTGTGGGGAATGTAACAGTTGATATGGCATTGAACAAATAAACAAGTATAACATTGTTATTTGCAAAATCATGAATCCTTATGTTTGTTTGTGTGTGTTTTTTTAACTGTAGGGGTGTTATCAGGCTGGGTTTTGTAAACATCTCAGCAAGCACTGCAAATAAAACTTTGAAAATTGTGGCATTCATCAGCTCCCACAGTGGAAACATCCCTGGCTTTTGCCATACCTCATAGATAGTGTCATGAAGCTTGAGTTGAAATTGTATAATAGAATGTTGACTCTGCAGCCCTGCTTAATGTCATTGCTGGTACTTAAGCTCTTAAGAGCACTCAGGATAAAGTAAATTTTCAAAATGATTGGCCAAATTATCCATCAAATTAATAAGTAAACTAAAAAAACAAAAACAAATGGAGAAAAACAAATAATTTTACTATACTCCTTTTAATAGTAACAATTTTGATCTATAACAGCAGAGAAGTCTGGCATACCTTGTTTCTATTGTTTTTGTTGTATATGGATACTTGGTAAATTGGGTTCATCATCTCATTATTTTCTCCTGTTAATTGGGAATAACCTCAGCGCTGTTAGTCTTATTAAGTTTTCCCCTCAGCTGCGGCTTGACGTACCCATAGCGGTTGAGCAAGGTGTCGATACTGCCCAAGTCCCTCATAGCGAACTCCCAAGCCTCCTTGCCATAAACCTTAAACGGGCGCTTGTAGAAGGAGTAGCTGCTGAGAACTTGATTGGGCTCAGAACTATGAACCTTGGACAGCGGGGGGTTCATCACAGCATCTCTTGGTGGCTGTGTGCTCTCGACTAAATACTTTGCAACTATGTGGTCACTGTCCAAATGAAGGGGCTGTTTCCCACCAGCATCGGCACCATCAGGGTTCTTCTTGTTCTCGATCAGTTTCTTGATTATCTTGTTCGCATCGATCTGTGTTGTTGTGTCAAACATACCGAGGGTGCTTGATCTCCCATGGGCGGCGAGCAATCGCCGGAATGTATTGGGAGACATGCTGGTAGTATGGTCAGCATTCATCTTTGGTGCTGCGCTGTTGTCTGCAATGCACCTCGTTTGATCTAATGGTGAAAAAATGCATAAATAATTAGAAATTTTAAAAAAGGTGTTCGGATACTTAACTTGACATGTTCTTGTGAATGTCATACAATAATTGGCTAAATGTTATTGTATAAAGGGGACTGACTTTTTTTTTAAAAATCCATGTATTCAAGGTGAATTTATAATTTCACTCAATAAGGCCTTGGGGCTAACAAATAAGCTGTACCATGATATTAATTTAATTAGCAATTACCCCAATAATGTAAAAATTATTTCAGTTTGCCTGCCTTACTTTAAGAAGTAAGAAGAAGAAGTGATGATTTTTATAAATACAGTGAATGCATAAACATTTTATTTAAACTATAAATACATAGTTTAGTGGCATTTTCTTTTTACAAATGTTGGTTGTCATAAAAATATTTAGGCCTATGCACATGACTGGCAGTGGTCAGTGGCAGACGAACGATATTCTAAATTATATTATATATTGAATCATATTAATTTAAATTTACTTAAAGCTAGGCGAATTTAAGTTATAATACAAACACTGTACTCTCAAAAGGATGAAATGCACTCATTTGACTCATTAGATTAAGAATCAAGTATCTCAAACTTAAGTCAGGCTATCAAGGAAAGTGTTAAAAAAATAAAATAAAATAACTTTTAAACAAGCAACAAAAAAATCATTTCCTTAACACCAAGTCATTTGAAGATTACTCACCGGCAATTAGCGGCGTGCCGCTATAAACTTCTTGATATGGCTATTTTTATGTTTTTAAATTTGTTAATTTGTGTGATAGAGAAAATAAACAAAGAAGTATGATGTATTACGTCAGCGTTTCCAGGATAGTCGTCACACAATCGTATAAAACTTGCGCTGTTCAGGGGACCTAATTAGTCTCATGGCATGAACTATTGTGTTAATTTATATGACTGGATTCCATCCCCTAGAAGACACATTAAAAATAGTGACGGTGCAGCATTTGGGATTGGATGAATAATTATCACGTGACTATCTGTTTACAAGAAAGGAAGGATTTTTTAAGCAGAAGATTAACTGATTTAGTTGACGAGGAAGCGAATTTTAGGGGTTTGTACTTTTTCAATAGTAAATATGGCATCTCCTGGATTTGATATAGCCAAAGCGGGTTGGCTTTATCGCCAAAGTAAGTATATATTTTGTAGCCCTAAGATTCTTTTTATTTAATGTTTTGTTTGATTTTGTTGTAACTGCGACGGTAGTGGCCTATACTATACTTGCACAAAATACGGTAATACTAAAAAACCAGTACCAGTAAATTGGATCAGTCCCAGTAATTTCAGTAAAAAAAAACAAAAAACGAGCACCTCCGACTGAGTTAGTTCGTACAACAGTGTTACTCAGTGTACTCAGAGTAACGGAATATTATAATTTGTACTTTTTAAAAATTAGGCCCTACTTATTACTTGGCTCATGATTTTAAATTATATTAATCTAATTCTAATCATAATTAATATCTAATTATTATGGCTTTGGGCTAATGCAGGGAATTGTTGCCATGATGTCATGAGGTATACATTTAGTTCATTTAGGGTTGAGGTTAAGTTTAGGGATACATTTAAGGTTCAGGTTAGGTTTAGTGACAGTGAATAATAAAAGTTCACGGTAAATTCAGAGAAAGCGGCCCGAGTCCATTTCCATGGCCGCCATCTTGGTTGCCTCCACCCGCGCACTTTTACGTGTTCACGGGTCGAGGCAACCAAGATGGTGGCCATGGAAAAATAAAATAACTCATGTTTGCTAAAATTAGGAAGAAAACGTTAAAAATTTATGGAAAAAATGTGTTAAATCGATCCCTATGCCTAACCCGAACCCTAAATTACTAAATCTATCCCTATGCCTAACCCGAACCCTAAGTCACTAAATCTATCCCTATGCCTAACCCGAACCTTAAATCACTAAATCTATCCCTATGCCTAACCCTAAATCACTAAATCTATCCCTATGCCTAACCGCTAACTCTAACCCTAAATCACTAAATCTATCCCTATGCCTAACCCGAACCCTAAATCACTAAATCTGTCCCTATACCTAACCCGAACCGATCCCTAAATCCTACGCCTTAAGCCACTAGTAAAAACATGTGGAATTTACGTAATGTGGCAAGAAAACGATAAAAATTAACAAAAAAATGCCCCAAATAATTATAACATAAAGAAATGATGAAAATCCAACTTACAGTTTCATGAAATACACTTTTACACACTTTATTTCAGGTTCCAACGCAAATATAGCCACAAAATGAATAAATCTCCACACCTCACAGGCACCCCAAACATATCAAAGATGGCGCAACCAAATAAAAATGATAATGAGCCAACCAATCAAAATTTTAAAATTATAATTAATCAACCAATAAAATTTTAATTCCAAAAATGTAACTCTTTTAACAAAAAAATAAAAAAAATAAGGGGAGTGAATCCAAATCAAAGTCGTCGTGGGCCACTAAATCTGAAAAAGCCTTTAAGCCAAAGTTCACAGATCGTGGCAACAAAGATGGCGGCCGTGTGATGCGTCATGGCACCAATTGTCTGCATTTACCGCTATTTGTCTTGTTCGATTTGGATAAATAATGTTTACAATTACAGAGTGGTGAATGCTTTCGTGTTGTGTCATCACACAGATTCTGAAAAACTTGTAAGGCTGTCTCCACAAATATTATGATTGTTCGAATCAAATGTTTAAATTGTTCGTCAATGTGTCATTAGAGCAGGACATGTTGCATAATTATGAGTATTAGACTCAGTCTCAGTTATTAGTATTACAATTATATATATGGCATCCTTCCGTCCTTGCAAGACGATGGAGTAGTTATGTACACTTCAACGAATGGCTCTCTTGGCCAATCCTGGAATGGCGATATCAGCTGCATTTCTTGCAGGAGACTATTGACATGGAAACTGTGTTAGATTTGGCCTTCTGTATTGTTCTTTTTGTTGCAAGGGCTTCATTTCGCGCATCTTCTGCCTTTTTGACTCTTTCATTTTCATACACTGCTGTTTGCCAGCTAGAACGTTGTTCGGCAGTGGTGTCCCATTTTGTTGATTTCAATGTTGGCTTCCCTCCTGCTCTTTTGCAAATGTCCATAAATCTCAGACGTGACCATCCAATAAGTCTTGTCCCTTATGCCAACTCTCAATACTGCTAGCAGTATCTTTGAATATGGCCTTCCTCCATTCTCTTTACATGGCCTAGCCAGCGAAGGCACCTCTTGCTATGAGCGGAGAATATGCTAAACATTTGTGCACATTCCAAGACCTCTGTGTTAGGTATACTATATTCTAAATTATATCTTATTGAATCATATTAATTTAAATCTACTGCCATTGAATGTTTAAAATGCGATGCAGACATCTTTGATGGAAGCTGTTGAGATTTCGCTCATGACTGGTATATGTGGTCCACACTTCACTGCCATATAGGAGCATACTAACCATACATGCCCGATAGACACTTAGTTTTGTTTTATCAGTTAGATTGAGGTTATTCCATACCCGCTTATTCAGTTTAGCCATAGTTGCTGCTGCTTTTTGCGAGTCTGATGTTCACCTCTTCAACAGAGAGAGAACTAGAAATATTGGATCCAAGATCTGTCAAATGCTCAACAACTGACAGATTATGGCCCTCAATAGATATGATTGGAGGGGACGGTACTTCTTGCATCATGACATGTGTTTTCTGTAGATTAATTGACAGTCCAAACTCTTTACAAGCATGTGATAGACGATTAACTAGCCACTGAAGACCTTCTTCTGTGCACTTAAGGCGGCATCATCAGGGAATAGCAGTTCATGAATTGATATTACAATTGGATGTTTACTATGTACATACTTACATTTTAAGTACCGTTACTTAGTAAAGGCTATAATTATAATTTATTTTATATGAATATGAAGAAAAGTGTCTAGTCTATTAAAATTTGGTTCTAAGAAAGAGTAAGGTGAAAGACAATTATTGACATTAGTGTACAAGTACAACTCAAGTACAAATGTAAAATTAGTAATTACATGTGTGATTTCTGGTGACATTTTGTCACTAGTGACACTGGTGATGAATGTATTATATAGGGGCTGTTCATTAATGACATTAAGAAAATAGAGGAGGGGTTATTATATTTAGTACCACTATATTTAATACAAAGAAAGCTAACACATCCCACAGCTTCATCTCTATATTTTAATAGCTAGTTAAAAGCAAAACAACATGGCTTCTGATATTCTGAGTACAATAAACACAAGTTTCATGCGATGATAACAAAAGGGAAGTAACTGTGACATTACAATACACAGTTAATATAACATCCCCCTCTGTCTAGAAAGAGCAGCACATCACAACATTGACAACAATACATATCATCAAATCCAGATAGCTTAAACTGTCTTCCATTAATTATAAATAAAGTCTTTCAGTCTCACAGTCTTTATTTCTCATCCTGATTGGGTTCTTTGTATGTTGTGGTATGGTTGCTGATTTGGTTCAGGTTCTGGTTTATCTGGTAATTCGGAATGCCTAATGTTATAATATTGATATATATATATATCAAATTTATATATATTATATGAAGTCAGAATTTGTATTAGTGGTAGCAGAGTGTTTGTATGGATATGGTAGAGGGGCCTGCAGGTGGCCCTCAGGTTTTTGACTTTCTGGAACTCTATTGGATGCAGTAGCAGTCTAATCATCCATTGGTACAACTCTTCTTAGATTACATCGATTGTGATGATAAATACCGCCGCCTGATGCAACTTCATCTGATTGTTCATCAAGTTTTTAGTGTCAACTCCCTTTTCCCATCCCTCCTTTCCACAAGAGTATGGTTTAAGTCTCACCGCCATATCCTCTTCAAGGGGTGGCAAGTCCTTGAATGTGTAGTGTAGTAGGTTTGCTGATCTCATCTGGTTTTCTCTTAAGTATTGGTCTGTGGTTCCCTGGATCAGTCATTTTTTGGTTTCAACAGGTTTTGGGCTATAGGTAGCAGTGTTAGGTTCTTCTATTGAAAAATGACTGCGCTGGAATAGTACCCGTTTGATTAGGGTATATGTATAGCCAGGGACATTCAATCCAAAGCCTGCTATTTCTTACAGTCAATTAAAAAAAAGGAATGTTTTCTTATATCTCTTTAGTTTGAACGTTTGAATTAAAAACAATGTAGTGGGGTAACACCAACAGGCATTTTTGGTAGGAAACATTATGTTTTTTTAAATTTTTGGTATGGGTTGAATGTTCACTCCCTTCATCAATTAACATCCATGAGATGTTTCTCATTCTGTGAAATAAAATTAGTTTAGCAACCCTTTTCATATTTCCCTAGAGTGAAATTGTAATTTAATTTATTTGATCTCAACCTCAAATCAATGGATCACTTTTTTTTAAACCAATTTTTCTTTCTAATTTTTTAATTTCAAATAATTTTTAGGTAATTATAAATTTTATAAGACGTTATATTTATCTTTTTGGTCTTGTAAATTTCTTTATTCTCTATGTCTTACGTTAAATTCCAAATGAAAATTACACCAGTATATGTAAGTTTTTATTTTATTTCATCTCGTGTCATTTTGTTGGGTCATAAACTGTTCCATCTTTTTAACTTTAACCTGCATGCTGCTTAGTAGATTAGACAGTGCAATAAACATTACCTGTCAACCTGTTGCAGTCTAAAAGTATCTTTCCAATCAGATAAGGTTTAACTAATATAATTTTAAGTTGTAATTTTGTAATTTTAACCACAAAATATATATTTATCTTGGCAGGCTCCGTACTCCATCGATGGAAAAAAAATTGGTTTGTCTTGGATCGTCAGGGGGACTTGCGTTACTTTGAGAACCCTGACACCCCAAGAGCTGAAGAAAGAATTGTGGTCCGTGGAGCGGTCACACATATTAAAACTGGACCAGATGTATGTTGTTTTTTTATTTGAAAAGCTCACATTTATAAAAATATTTTTTTCAAAAGTTTAGGTATTAATGGATCTCTCAGCATTTTAATGACTCCATTGTTTCAATTAAAAGATGTTCATCCTTCAAATAAATGACTTATTTTATTGCAGCTCATCATTTACTTATTTTAACTTATATTTTTATTGTGATTAATTATTAATTCTTTGATTAATAGCCAAACTATGAGAGTTCTTTATTGTTCATGATGGGTTGTTGTTTTTTTAAAGTGCCGCAGGGCAGATCCACCAGAAGGTCTTAGCCAAACTAAAGCTTGCTATCTTGAGCTCATGATGAGGGAAAAAGAATCTATGCTTCTCTGTGCTGAATCCCTTGATGATATGAGGTAAGATGAGTTCTTCTGTCTTTCATTGTAACTCACCAGTGTGAATATTTTATCATTCCATCAGGTAAAAACAAGCAGGGATGCTTATTTTCTCTTTATGACATTTGCTTGAAAGAGATGTTTAGTATATTTATTATTTCAGATTTTTATCCTCCATTTGTATTCCCTATTTATTTTCCAATGTTAAGAAATTTTTAGACATGTCTTGGGACATAGTATAAAACAGTATATGCCTAACCCTATCCCTTCTCCAGTTTGGAACCAAAATTTTTGGAGATCTTGAAGTTCATAATTATGTTTTCTTAAAGGCTAAAGATTTTGTGAATTATACCTATTGCCAACGGCAACATTATGGATGCATTAACAACATAATAATGCACCCATAATGTTGCCATTGGCTATTGGTATAAATCACAAAATCTTTAGCTTTTAAGAATTAATCTTTGAGTTCAATGGAAAAAGTGGAAATTGTTTATTCTGATATTTATCATAATTTCTGTTGCATTTTAACAGCTTTGATAAAAAAAAATATCATATATTAATCCAAAATCATTTAAATTGTATAGTTCAATTTATAAATGAAATTCTGGTAAATTGTGATCATTCGAATGATTGTGCTATCCATCCACCCATTCCTATCACACTACAGCCCTTGTAGGCTTTGGCCTGCATTACCACTTTCTTTCACTCAGACCTAACTGATGTTTTACTTTTTGATGCTTGGATTCCAAGCTGCTGTAGATCTTTTTCCATATCATCCATCCATCTAAGCCTAGGTCTGCTTTGGAGCCATTTTCCTCTGGGGTTTTAGTGGTGTACCCTCTTCACTCCTCTGTCATCTGAAATTCTTTCTAAGTGTCCTGCCCGGGGCAGGCTGCCCTTTTTTCATTTCTGCTACTAGCATGGGATCCGGATAGTGTATATATGACTCCTTTTTGGTTCATATTCATCCTGGAATAATTGTATAGGTGTATAAATTCACCCACAGTCTGTTGCAGCGGGGGGGGGGGGGGGGGGGAAATTCAGGAATTAGTGGAACAAGGTATGTTGAAGCTTGGAGATTTTTTACATTGAGATTTTTGCACAATCTAAGTCTCAACCTCTATTCAAATTTTATAATTGGCTGTACTGTCCTTTGTTAAAACTGTTTAAAAAATAAAAAATGTAGACTGTTTATTTTCCCCAAGGGCATGGCAGATTTCTCTTGAAGAAGCCAGAACGCTTCCTGGTGCCAGTTACCCACCCAGCGTGACCAGCACCACCTTTATCACTGCCCCTGGTTATTATCCATATGGGAATCATTATGGAGGCTATGGATATCAAGGGCACGTCATTAACCCCTCACCTACTCAAAGTGAGTCAAATAGTGTGTTACACCATTGGTCTTTAATGGGATACAGATGGAAAGCTGGAGAAAAAATGCATTTTTAAACCCACCCTCTTTTGACATAGAATCTTTGAATCAACCTCTTCAAAAGTATTTTAAAATATATATATATGGAGAATGAATTTTATGCTGATAAGTTGTTAACATATGTATTTAAAAGTTTTCTTGAGAGATCTAGGAGAGATTAATTGTCATAAAACATTGAATTCCAGAGGAAATATTAGGTAAAAATCCACAAATATTTTAAATGCAGTGGGCAATATTTTTCTGTTCACAATGAAAGTACAAGAAATGTTGATGGCTGAACAAAACCAAAACCTGTAGAGAGAGAGAGCTCAAGGACATCACTTTTAACATTTCAACCCTTTGTTACGTTCAATACCACATAAAAATTAATCATATTTGCAAGCAAAGTACTCTAAGCTAGTAAAATTTTTATAACAAGAACTTTCTGTATTTGTTCAGTTTATCACACACCAACTGGAACCACCACCGTTGTCAATGCAGCCCCAGGCCAACAGATTGTATATGTTGATGATGCTCCCTACAGACACAGGAGATGTTATCGTGGTGGCATTTACCCTGTTCCCATGTTTTTCTGGTGAGAGGGCTGTGATATTTTAAGCTTCAACAGTACAATATGATTTCAGTTACAACTGTTAAAGTTGAGTAAGGAAAAAATTACCAATATATTGATTATGATTTGTAATTATTTTTTTTCCATTACATTTTTGCTGCAGTCATCAGCTTTTATAATTTGAAAAAGTGTTGCATTTATATTTTCTGTGTAATCATATATGCTTCTTTTTTGTTGGTCTAAACCATTTGGTTTGTTATTTAGGAAAACATAATTGACCAAATAAAAAAAAAATTTGTTTTTTTACTTTTAGTACTGACGTTAAATAAAAGAAAGAAAGAATAATATCTTGTTTTTCTTTGTGTACAAAAAGGATTCCATTTTTTTAAAATAAAATTTTTTTTTTAGCAATTTTTTTTTTCTCTTTTGTTTTAAGAATATATCAATAAAATTCTAAGGTTTAAGAAATTTTTATTAACCATGTTTAACAATTAAAGAATAAAGTTGTTGTTTTTTAAAGATATTTATATGCAATTTGCATTTGGTTTCAGAGATCTGTTCTTGTCAGTTCCTTATAACGCATAATTTATAACAAAAGTATTAGATGTTGTATCTTTCGTTAACCATGTTAAATTAGGGTTTATTATCTTGTTGATTTCATGAAAACTTCTTTATCTGAAATCTGATATCCAAATTTTCTAATCCATTTTATATTTCTTCAAATAATATTTTTACCTGAGAGTGTTGTTGAATATGTTCTTTTCCTGTTTTTAAAAGTAATAAAGTCGCTCAAACAATTATTCATTGTATTTTAGATTGACCTTTGCTAATACAAAGTGTTTGTGAGTATATGAAATTGATCTATGATATAGTTTTGCATTCCTATAACTAGATGTTTTCAGCCCATTCAAGAATTAAGAAACAATTGTCATAAATAGGAAAAATCTTTGTGAAAATTTCAACAAAAAAGTAATCTTATTTTAGATGGATTATATTATTGGTGCCACTGTGCTCAGATTACTCTGTGTTGTTGGTAAAATCTTAGATTTATCCATTTTGATTTATGACGCATTATTGTGGGTTGAGACACCAAGAAAAATTTTCAATTTCAGATATTTCTTTAAAAAGGCCTTACATTACATTATCAAACACTGTTACTAGTTGATTGAAAAAAATAAAGGCGATTAAAATAATAACAATTTGATATGCTTCTTTCTTTTTTAAAATACTTAGTAATTAGGCAACTTGCTTTATTTCTCTTCTTATTTTTTCTCTGCTATTTCTAATAAAATTCATGAATTATGTGGCTAGTGTAAAATTTATGTAATTAAAAGTGGTTTAATGTGATTTACAAGTGTTTGTTCTTACTTCAAATCATTCCCTTCTCTGTTTAATTTTCAGAATTGCTTTTATTATGGAAACTTGTGTACACAAAATCTTAGTAATAAAGGACATCTTAATGAGTTTTGTGATACTACTTTCTCCTCATTGAGTCTGTGAGGAAAGACGTTTTATTGACACTTTTCGTGCCATTTGGTGTTTTGTCTTTAAAGTTTTATGTAATATATATGGTTTGAAAAAACATAATTAGGAACAAAATATTGCTTTTTATTATTTATGAATTCCATGGACCATTATGCCCTATTTTGTTATGACATTTTTTTAAAGGTCCTAAAATAATAACTTAAAAAGAGCAATTAATTATTAAATCAAATAAATGAAGTATCGGACTGAATTTTGGGATGAGTTATTACTAAAGATTATTGGATGAATTTTTATGGGGGGAAAAAGTTATTACGAGTTTGCAAAGAGTTCTTGACCTTTGGAAAAAAAAATGGTTTCCGGTTAAACAAAATATAGTCCATAATTAAATATTCTTAAAACGCTTTTTCAAATATTGCATTTAGTTATTTCTAAACATTTACAAAAATAAGCACATAAAAAGATAATAAATTTTGATACTTTATCACAAATTTTTAAAGCTTTAGAATGGTAACTAGGTGTTCGCGTAGTGATTTATTTATATCGGCACCATAGCAACATAAGTAAACTATACACTTTGTTTTGTGTGTGCGGCGGCTTCGTGTAAAGATCGCCATCGCCAGGCACCTGTTTCTTCTCATTTTTTAAAACTTGAAGCATCATTTATCTATTGAAATGGCGCTGCCATTTTTACCTGGAAACTCATTTAATAAAAGTGTGAGTGTAAATAAATTTAATGCGTAGAAAATTTTTAATTTATGTTACTTTTTTGTGTGCTGTGCGAGTGTGAATAATGTTGTATTAAACGTACAACTTAAACTTAAGCTTAATAATATAATTTGGACTAATAAATCGTTTTATGCTTATACCTATACAAGTTATAGCCTACTGTTAATATAAAACAGTGAGGTGTGTGAGTGTTGACTAGTTTATTACTACTATTTGGACAGAAAACCAATTATTAATAATATAATAAAGTGATAAAAGTCTTGTAGGCTTTAACTAACAGAAGATTGCCAATATATTATTAATATGTTAAATATGGAAGGGTCTATTTATAAGACAATCAATGATTAAGTATGAGGATTCAATATTTTAAATTATATTACCATCAATTTATATAATTATAGGCTATTGACTTGTTTTCATTTGTTGGAAATTCTTATAGATTAATTCATACAATGAATGCTACAACTAATAATAATATTCATTTCTACTTTTTTTTTTGTAGCTTGGAAAAACAAAGTTTCACAAATCCCACCATTTTGACGTTGAGAATGAGACATCGTTGATGGTTGGTGCTCAAAAGCCAGGAATTGGTGGTGAACCTCTTTTGGGTCAGAAATATAAACCAAGAAATACAGTGTTTCCTCGTGGAGATGGAACCTACTTGCCATCATGGGTTGCTTTTGATAGACAGGTAATTATATTTCTTAATGACATTGCTTGCCATTTAAAAGAGACACACAAGAAAGTATCAATAAAGATTCTAATTTATTGTGGGAATATTTTTTTAATGAAAAATAATAAAAACCTCTCTTAAATGTTTACAAAATATTGTTATGGTAATTGTGCGATAATAAACAGTTTCCTTAGATCTTAATCATCTGAGCCTAAACCAAATATACATTTTAGGTTCTGTCATTCGATGCTTTCTACCAAGAGGCTGTACATGAAAAAAGAGAAGAGCAATACAGAGTTAGAAATTGCAAGATTTATTTTTATCTGGAAGATGATTCTATTCAAGTCCTTGAACCCCGTCTTAAGAATGCTGGCATACCTCAAGGTACAATTTTTTCTTAAAGTTTCAATAAAAAATGATTTAATTGGCAAAGTAAAGAGTTTTAGGCATTTAATTTTACAATATGAGAATTTTACTAATTTCAGGCACTCTGATTCGACGTCACAGAATACCTCGCCCACCCCCAAATGATGATGAATTCTATACAGCAGAGGATTTCAATATTGGGTCAGAAATCTGCCTTTATTCTAAAGTATTTAAGATAACAGACTGTGATCAGTTCACACAAAACTTTTTAAGAAAAATGGGCACAAATGTTCAACGACCTGCCAATCCACCTGAAGATCCATACATGAACTACAGGAAAGCTGTGAGTTAAATATTTTTCTTATTAAATTTAATAAAGCTGATTTTTTTCATATTGCCAAATTAATTTTAAAAAATAATTAAAAAATCCAGTCACATTCTTGAGCCAATAAAATATTATAAAAAAAGAGCGATCATTTTTTAAAGTGCATATTTTTTTTAATTAATGAAAGACTAAAAGAAATGTTGATCAAATATTATTAAGATTTTTTCTTAGATTATTTCTTGATTTTAAATTTCAATCAAAGTTTCTTAATATGAAATGAAAATTAATTACTTAAATTTAAAAAAAATTGCAGCAGAAACATTTCATCATTTTCCTTAATCTTCATTATGGACTAGCCACCTGTAGCTTAATTTCAGTTGCATCATATTTTACAAACAATGTTTGAAAATGTTTGAAAAGTATTAATCAAACATTTTTTATCAATTTTTTATTTATTTCTAAATAGACAAATAAATCATACTTCGTATTAATTGTAGTCTCAATAATTAAAAATGTTAAATATCAAATTAAATTTTTTAGATTGATGATGCCATGAATCCATTACGTCCTTATGAAAAGTATGACACACTTAAACAATTTCTGGATCATGATCGCCATGTACTTCGGTTTTACTGTCATTGGGATGATTCAGAAAGTTTGTTTGGAGATGCAAGGGAGATGATTCTTCACTACTACTTAGCTGATGATACTATGGAGATCAGAGAGGTAGCCACAAAGAATTCTATTCTTCATTTTAAAAGGAAAAAATAATAGTTCCAATTATAATTTTAACTTTCCAAAAACAAAACTAGAAATATGTTAAGCATTATCCATTTTAGATTTTCTTTTGCAAATCAGATATGAAATTTATTTATTTATAATTAGGTAAATGATTTTAATGTACTGTCTCTGAACACAGATATTTCAAATGAGATGCCATAGCAAGTATATAAAGTCAAAACATAATTTATTTCTTATCTTAATTTCTTGAAACCATGCTACAGTGAGGTATAGAAAATCTTTTTATCCCTCCAAGGAATATGATATTACACAACCTTTGTGTTCACAAAAAACTAAGAAACAGTCGTTCAAAATCTAATTTTTAAATTATTTTTTTATTGTATTTTGGCTAAATGTAGTCCTGAAAAGTTTTATTCTGTCTTATATTTATATTAAGTATAATCTTGGTTTACATTAAATTAAAATACAGTTAAATTCAAAGCTACCTGTATTTCTTTGTCACAAGGTCATACCTCCCAATTCTGGACGTGATGCTGTGCCAGTGTTTCTGAAACGAGGAAAACTACCCAAAAATCCTTCCAGCCTTCCCCAGCCTGGAGTTAACACAGATAGAACTGTGTTAAATGTGTTTGGTCCAACAGGACATGGAAGTCGTTATATACTGGATAATCTCAAGGTTCAAAGTTTAAGATCAAGTCAAGTAGATTAGAAGATATATGAAAGGGGGGAATATTTTAAAATAATTAAATGATATTAGTAGATTTCTTTAGAGACCAAAGATCGGATTATTTCAGAAATGAATCATCAATGTTTGTTTGATGACAGAACTATGGTTTAACATTGTCTACCAGAGGGTTGTCCTACCATTTCAATAAAAATGTATAGTGAGATATGGGATTTATTGTACAATTGATGCAGTTGCTATAACATAAAGAGAGGCACAGTCAGGCTCTGTGTCTGTAAATGGCTTTGTGTCCATAAATTTGACTTCCATAGTGCATAAAAGGTGGAGAAACCCAAAACTAATGCAACAGCACTCCAAAGTAACTCATTCAATGGGGCATGCAAATGATTTTATCTTGCTAGTGTGCCAAATTACAGATTAGCTACATTGAATGGTTGTATGCTTGAGCTCTCATTCATGTATTACGAACTAACTTATGTTCTCTTTCACACATTCAGACAGGAGCAGTGAACAATGAATTCTACACAGATTGTGACCTTTCTCTTGGTTCAACTCTCAGTGTGTGGGGACGCAAGTTTGTCATTTGCGATTGTGACAACTTTACACGGGAGTACTACAAGACAAAATATGGCATTGGTAAACATGACATCTTAACTCTCGTGATTCAATGGTGGCCGTTTAAAGGAAGGGTGACCCTGAAGTATGCTAAATTTAGGCATTGACAGGAAGGCTGAAATAAGGGTATAATAAATTGAGACAAAAGAGTAGAGAAGTCAACATTTTTCAAGTGGGTTAGAAGTGAGAGAATTTTCAGATATCTGCTGAAGAACTTTTTAAAAAGAGAGGAGAAATCTGATTGGGGGGGGGGGGGGGGGGTGGGGGGGGTGTAGATGAAAATGTCATTATATGTCAAAGACTGTTAACAAGTAAAAATTTGTGAAAACAGTAATTTTTAGTGTACTTTGAAATAGTGGCAAAAGTTTGTTGAAATGTAGTAAAAATAATAATCTTCTATGCTTTCGATTACTTTCTATTCCTGATTTTTAAAAAATATACTTTTTGATAACGACTGTATTAATCTGCACTAAATAATAACCCCTGTATGAAATCACGTACCGAGCTGGTGTAAACCCATTGATTTAGATCTATTGTATATGGTTAATTTCTAAATGTGAGAATGGAGGGAAATGTGTAGTAAATCTGACATTATATGTATTGTGCAGAGGATATGACCCCTGTGACATACAAACAAGAGAAAGTCACCCAGATTTCAAAGCAAGCGCCACCCTTCAATGGATTTGGCAGTGAGGAAGATTCCTTATGCTCCTGCAATAGTTTGCTACCCAAACCACCAAAGCGAGACTTCGTCAAATTCATGGAGCGTGACAGGTGTGGCTTGGATAGCAATGTTTTGAGATTCCTCGCCCAGATGGTGACCAAGAAACCCATTGACCAGGGGAGACGATTTATCATCTCCTACTTCCTGTCAGATGACACAATCTTGGTGTTTGAGCCTCCAGTTAGAAACTCTGGTAAGTACAGTACTTGAAGCCTTGGCTTTCTTTTCACTCAATAACATTTCTTATATGTTTACAGTTTTTAACAAAATGTTTCTTAAAATTAAATTAAGAGTTATTTGAGTTTCAGTTATGTTCTGTATTTTTCATTGTAATTAAACATTTGTTTAGTTATTTATGAATTAATTTGTTTATGTTATTTCCTCTAACATGTGTTGAAATTGGGAAGATTTTAAGGTCATTTATTTGTGCTGTTGAATTAAAATAACAATTGCTAGTGAAGCTTCTTAAGCTCCATTACTGAAAGCTAATCACCCATCCCATAGTTTTCTATGAGTAAAGGACTGTGTTGAAATGTTGGATTGGTTAAACATTGATGTGATCCATGTATTACTGTACTTAAAAGCCATAATATAAGTAGAATTCCTTGTAGTAAAAATAAATATAAACGGCTGGATTTTAGGCAGTTCAGTAAATTAGCAGCAGCTTAGGAGGGTCTAGCAGTCAGAAAAAGCACCTCAATGAGTAGAACTTTAAATTGGCTCACGACATGGCCATCATTGTATGATTTAAAAAAAAAATATTTTTAAATGTCCAGGCATTGTATGATTTAAAAAAAAAATATTTTTAAATGTCCAGGCATTGCCGGGGGCCGATTCTTAGAGAGGACTCGTGTCAAGAAACCCAACCAGATGAGGTACAACACAGAACAGTCCGAGTACTACAGCGCCACTGATCTGTATGTGGGGGCTCAGGTTGAGTTCAACAACTTTAAGTTTATCCTCACTGATGCTGATGAGTATGCCTTCAAGTTCATGGAGGACAACAGCCACGTAGTGAGTACACTCCCATAGAGATGAAAATAGTTTCATGAAAGCAATGACTTAATGTGAAATATTTCTGTGAGGGGCAGATTGTTATTAAACTGTGAACATAAAATCATTAAGAATAGAATAATTTAATAAAGAAAAGCTTATTTATAATCAGATCACTCTGAAATAGACCATTTTACTCTAGTCCATCCTAGTGGTGCTACAGCCCATTCACGGCTTTGGCTTTCATCACCACTTTCTTCCACTCAGACCTAACTGATGCTTTCTTTTCCTTGCTTGGATTCCTAGCCACTGTAAATCTTTTTCCACATTATCCATCCATCCAAGCCTAGGTCAGCCTTTGAATCATTTTCCTCTGGGGTTTACGTGGTGCACACTCTACACTCCTCTGTCATTTTCCTCTTAGAAATACATTTTATTCTTGCATCGCTTAGTGGCACACAATAATAAGTAAATAGGCTCAAAAGGCTGGAAAACCTTGGGTTTCAAAGGGAAGAAGGAAATCACTGGTCCTAATCAACACTTAATTCTGCATTTTTTAAATTCTTTTTGTTTTTAAAAATGAACATCACAAAATAAAAATTCTTACTGTTTTTGAAAATCTCAAAACTTGATATTCAATACAAACCTACAAATGAAACTTTTTATGCATTTAAAAAAAAAAAAGTTGAGTCTATATAATTTCCTTCTTTCACCCAATGACGTTCCTAGAAGAAAGCTTCTTACATTATCAGGCACAAAAATAAAAATCTTTTTAAAAAAATACCAGTACCTACTTTTTTGGAGTGAGAAACCACCATCGTTGTCATGAATGTATTTAATTGTAAAAGCCTTTAGGAACAAAAATCATGTTTCAATGTCATCGTTTTGTTTGTTTTCATCAGTAATGGTAAATAATCATTGCAGAATCTGAAATTGGGGTGATGAATGATGGTCATTAAAAAAAAAAATTAAGTTCAACTATATAAAATTGAAATCTCACAATGAAGGAAAAACAGCAGTATTTACCCATTATTATCTGTCTGTTTGTGTTACAGTTTGTGAAATCCAACATTGACGCTGTGGTGCAAAAGTTGGCAACCAGGTTGGGCACGAACAAGGAAGACGTACAAGCTTTCTTTGCCAGGACTGATCCCGCAGGCACTGGTTACCTCCCCTATGAGAAGTTCAGGGAAATGGTTCTCACAGTGGAGCCTACGCTCACTGAGCAAGAGGTAGAATTATTAACATCAGTGGTGCATAAAATCAATGGTGCATAACATCAGTGGTGCATAACATTGTTAGGGAATTCACCTATCTGCTTGTTTAAAAAAAAAAATATATATATAACACTTCAAAAATAACTTTTAAAAACTAAAATAATAGTGTTAAGAATGATTGGCTGTTTTACACTCTTAAAAACTTGTATGTTCAATCATCATGTATGACCGGAAAGGGGGTGTGCCTTTTTTGATTGCACCCTTTCTAATCAATAAACTTTATTCTTTTTGTGCATCATTTTATATTTTACGCTGATGGTTTCTTTTATGTTTAATGTGTAAAATTTAAGAGATACTGATTAGAGCAAAACTATCAGGTTAAAACGTTGTTGTTTTTTTCCTTAGAAATTATTAAGCCCCCTCACCCGATAACAATTTAAATATGTGGGGAGCTCCTGTACCTTCATTACTCTTTATATTCATGTAAATTAATTGCTTTCACAAAATAAATATATTACTGTTATATAATGCAACCTAGAGCAAATGTGCACTTACTATACTGTAAAACCAGGCGTGTAATACCTGAAATATGATGTCATGTGAAATTTCTTGGTTTTCATATCTAATTTTAATGGGCTCATGGTGTTTTTGACTGTGTTGCTTTAGCCTCATGACATTTTTTAAATCTAATGCTATAAAAGACTTGAATAAATTACTTAGCTTCCCGAAGCTTCATAGCTCATTGATCAGTTAAAAATTTGTGTTTTTCATAACTTTCTTTTTATTAGATTATGACTGTGGCAAGACAATACAGTGACCGCCGGTCAGATCTCATTCTCGACACAGACAAGTTGATAGCTATCATGCAAGAGGAGCTGAGAAAGAAAAACTTTGAAGACTTCAGTGTTTTGGTTGCATCTTTCAGACATCAAGACAAAAACTGGTAAGTTCTATAATACTATACGGTACGATAAACTGATAAGTTCAACTTTAACTCAAAATAACTGATCAGCTGTATTACACATTAAACTGGTAAAACCCACAACGCCATAATCTTTTACAAATATTGAATTTTCTCAATTCATAAAGCACACTCACAAAAAATTTAATCCAATTCAATTTTTCAGTTCATGCTTTACAAAACCCAACTACATTTATTATTTTTGTGGATAATTTGTTTTTGAATGCATCCTGAGTAAACACGAACAAACTTTACTTCATATTTCCAGCACTGGATACCTTGACAGAGAAACCATCAGGAGGGAGTTTGCTGCCCAACACATTCCAATACCTGAAGATATGCTCAGAGCTGCACTCTCAGTGTGAGTAGAGTAAGACCTGAGTAGTTAGGACTCCTGTATAAAAATGTGACATTGTGACAACAGTTCAGTGGTAAAACTTTATGTCTTGGGACAATAAATGAAGTATATGGATGAAATTATCTTGATCATTTTGTAAAAATACAAGGCTTGATTACTTTCTAAAATTAACAAAATATATTTGTCACATAAAACTACTGAAAGTTTAATGAAATTATAAAGTTGAATTCTTAATAAATCTTTAAAATATGGGCTCAAAAAATTGATTGTGCCAACATTTTTGGAAAGACTAGCAACAAACAGCATTTGTTCCCATACAAATCTTCTCAAGTAAATGTCAGCAAGCCAATTTTTAAGTTATTTATATTAAATAATGATGGAAAAGTTTATTACACAACCTCCAACATTTTAAGAAGCTTTATAGTTAAATTGTAAAAGAAATAAATCTATTTACTAATTTATGTCTTTTTAATTTGGATTAAGTCTCAGCTAGTTTTAAAAATATATTCTTAACTTTTATTCCTCCCATTTATATCCTCAAACACAAGTTTTCACATTTTTTTTTTTTTTTAAATCCAGGGCCAAAACAGCTGAAAACAACAATGAATTAGTCTTGTATGAAGACTTCATCAATTCTCTTAACTGGAGGGACCACCCAGTCCTGTCAATTCAGTATCAGCCTGTTGTTGTAGATGAGACCTGGTGTGGCACTAAACCACAGAACCAGATCAGCAATGTCAACTACAGGCCTCTGCTGCAGAGGATCTTCGGAGACATGCAAGATAGGCCAGAAATTACTCCTTAGGAATTTTTCAAAAATAAAACTAAAATGGAAGCCAGAGCATATTTCAAGGCTTCTGCCTTGATCTTATTTCAAAACTACAACTTATTTTTAAAAAACTGAATTGGGATTAGGTGACTTAACTTATATTTACTATTGTTTACGCTGTGGTCCCAATTTCGAATGCATAAAATATATATCAAGTTTCTTAATGAAAGAAACAGAATAAAATAATTATATGTGTGGTATAATGTTTTTACAATGTAAAAAGAAAAAATTGACATTCGTTAACTCCAAGATGTTCAAAAAAGTGATTAGCATATGTACTATTACTATCAGTATTTTTCTGAAGATTTTATTTTAAAAAATTAAGAGGTTACATATTTAAAAATAATTATGTTAAATGAAAACACAAAAATAACTTTGTTATGAAAAATCTGGCTGTGATAATTTTAAAAAAAAAAAAAATTAACCCTTGTCCAATGTCTAATTTATCAATGTGTAAGTACAGTTGAGTTTCACTTTGAACAGAATCTGAATTTTTCATTTTATTTTGAATAAAGAAAATTTACTTGAGGATGCAAATTTGCCAGTAGTGGGAATTAATCAGCATTCTTTGACGATTTTTGTTTGATTTTGTTATATATATATAATATATGTATATGAACATCATTTTAAACAAAATTTTCCTAAAATAAGATTTAAATGATAAATTATGTTAATGTCAAAGCCAAGATTTTTTTCCTCCAAAAACACGTCAATTTATACATATTTACAATTTAACATTAAATATTTTTTAATAAACATTTATATACATTTTATCACCCTTTCACGTTGTGTTTAGAACATTCTAATTTAAAAAATGTTTAGTATTCTTATTGAGTTTTTTTTTTTTTTATAAGCTAAGATTGTTTTCAGTTTAGTATTTTTTCTTATTTTATTAAAATTTTCTTATTGCATTTTTAAACATTCTAATTTAAAAAATGTTTAGTATTCTTATTGAGTTTTTTTTTTTTTATAAGCTAAGATTGTTTTCAGTTTAGTATCTTTTCTTATATTATTAAAATATTCTTATAGCATTTTTAAAAATCAGTGACAAAGATACAATTTATTCACAGAACCTCTTCTTTTAAAATGTTGTTAACAAATAAATTTAAAAATAATGAGAGGAATAAAATTTTTAAAAACATTTGGCATTGCATTTTGAATGTTGTTTATATAATTATATGAAACAAAAATCACATTTATTATTATTTATCCTGGTAGCCCAAAAGGTCTTAAACACTAAAAACAATAATCAGTAAATTGGCAAACTAGAAAGATTTCAAGGAGAGGGACAATTTTAATATGTGCTTAATGAGTATTCAAAAAGCATCTGTTGTTAGTTTTCTTTTTATGAAATTAACAATTAAATCTAGAGTCTCTAATCATTTATCTTAGATCAGAGTTGGATTCTAAAAATATTACACACACACCTCTTCTGATTTCCTTGGAAAACTGAGCCAAAATTTATAATTTATTGCAAGAACACATTTTGTTTACAGATAGACATTTTATGTACTATTATTACTATTATTATTATTATTGATAGATCAAAGAGATTCCCATTGAATAGTGTGATTAGATAAAATTATAAAAATGAAAATGTTCAAAAGGTTTTTAAAAAATTTTTCTTAGAGTAAAAGAAGAGAAATAAATCTTAAAACATTTTAAAACCACTTTGTTTCCAATTTATATATGAAAGAAATTTGGTATTGAACTAAAGAAGGTTTGATCTCAAGCTTTAGTGATAAGGTTTAAATATAATGAAATAAGCTCCATTCTAGGTGAGAAGCACATGGGTACTACTCACAATTCAAGGTACTTTTATTAAAAATCTTCAAATAAGCAAAAATAAGTTCTAAAGTATTCTAGACACTACACTAAATGTAAACATAACAAAGTTGTTGGTAAAATTCAAAACCTGCTGGTAAATGATGGACCGGCACATGATACAATAGAAATAAGGACTAGTCGCATATGAGTTGTTTTTTTAAAAATAAAGCAAGAGACAGGCCTTCCTTGAAATATTTACATGTACAGATATTAGTAGTTAAAGCATTTTTTGTTTACATCCAAAACGCACATTTCTTATACAAAAATAAGTTTCTTTACCAGAATGTTTAACCCGTGTAAACCTGAGTCCTGGAATTTAGTGAGTCTGTTTGAAGAATTGTTGGTATTTGAAGGGTTGTGGTTCTCTGCGGAGGGTTAGGGGTTCGTATGAAGGGTTGTAGGTCTCATTTGTTAAAAAAAAAAAGAGGGTTGGGGTGGGGTATCCATGACTTCATGACATCGTTGTTTATTGATCTGACATTTTCAAAGTTTACACCCCAATCCCAAATTCAACAGCTTACAAATGGTCGTGATCCATGGACTTCAATAGTAGCCTGCTCCAAGACTCGAAATATGGGGAATTTTGCTAGTGAGTGGCAGCTACACAACGAACACAATGTCACACTACTGTTTGGATTTCTGTGACATTCAGTATCAGTTTTCACACTACTGTTTGGATTTCTGTGACATTCAGGAGTAGCTTAAATTAACCATATATTCACACATTTCACTTGAGGATTTTAGGAGCAATGTTACATGAAGATTTTGGGGAGCAAGATTGTTAAGTATGAAATTGCAGAATGGGCATGGGTATTGCAAGGAGAGGAGCAAAAACTTCGAGAGCATGATTTCAGGGAGCAAGATTTTAAATAGAAAAATTGCAAGGAGCAAGTTTGTTAGGGAAAGGTTGCTGAGAGCAAGACTTTGTGGAGAATTATTAAGAAAAGGTACGATGTCAGGGAGCCAGATTGCTTGGGAAAGAGGGGGGGGGGGTGCGTTTTCCCCGGGCTCTTCTGTCTTTGAACCTCTTTTAATTAATTTGTAATTTTAAGCTAAATTATATTTTAGTACACCGCAATATGATCGTGACACTACAGCTTCGGTGTAATAGTTATTGTAAACTATTGTTAATGTAGACAGAGCCGTTGCGTGGAACTGGAACCCCTGCGGCTGCAAGGGTCCTCAGGTATAGAAGTGTTTGAATGGACCCAAAGGTCTGAGGAAGGAAAGAGACACAAAATCGGAAAGTGGCAAGAGGCCTACACATGTCACGTGACGGCTCTGATTGTAGAGTGGGAGAATGTGGAAGGAGTAAGAGAGAAATAATGAGAGGTAAATATAAAGAGAAAGAGACAAAAGGAGAGAAAAAAGATGAATTGGCGGGAATCATAGATAGGCTATGCAGAAATACTAGCATTATCGTTATAATTACTTCCCTTGGTTATAAATTGAGCCATAACCCAGACATAGATATTAATTTTAAACTAAATGCCTACGTTCACTGCTTTACGTATACGGCCTTACGAATAAAAGTGATAGTTATATGATTAAAGTTTACGTGAGTCAAGCCTGACAGAAAAATCTGGACAAGAGTCCCGCGTGTTGCATGACAATTTCCAGTATGAAATTTCATTTTTCAATGAAAATTTCTCATATGAAATTTCCAATTACAATGAAAATTTCCAGTGGAACTCCTCCGATGCTTTTGGTGTCAAGTAGTATCATATAAATGACGTTCTCTTGTGGAGAGGGGATTATCCATAAAACGCATTACTTCCTAGTTTCATCAAAAACACCTCTATCGCAATTACGTCATGACCATAGTCTTATAGGCCTACTTATGGAAATCTTCTCTCGGGTTGATCCTGTAGTATAGGCCAAAACGTGCCAAAGTGTAGGCCTACTCTTTAGTACATTTTAATTGTCTCTATTGTATAGTAATTACTAACCTAGTGTCTCTGGTTTTTCATTTTTATTTTATTTTATTTTACTTAGTTTACATGTTTTTCAAAAATTGTAAGGCGCTTAGAGCTTTAAGGTAAGTGCTATATAAAAATGCCTAAATAAATAAATAATATTTGCAGCAGCTGGTCATCCAAAGATGTTAAATTAATATACATTATAATATTTGATCATTCTATAAGTAGTGATTTCCAACAATAATAATTTTGTGGAATTGAACAATTCTAACAATACCATCTCCACAACTGTTACTGTTAAAGAAGTTGAATTATAAATTAATTGGTAAAAGTGCTGTTCAGGTGCGTAAATTATTTCTCTACGCATTTTGTATTTTCGCTTGTAAATGTAAACTTACTTGTATTCTTTATTAATTAAATCCAGGCAGTATTAGTTAACTAATACTAACATACTGGATTATATGGCACTTTTTTTTCGTTTAATTTGAATTTTAAAGCGTCTTTTAACATCCCCAAACCAAAGTTACATAGACATAGGCTGCAGGCCCATTTGTTTTGTTTGTTTTTTTAACCCTATCGCCAGATTTTTTTATCACCTATTACTATTAGTAAGTAAGCTAAACAAAATATTCAAACTCTAGGAATGTTCACAAAAAGAATGAAATACTGGAACATTTTAAAAAAGGGAAGGGGGGGGGGGGGTGGTTAAATTAGAGGTTCTGTTTTGGGATAGGGGCCAAAAATGTATTGTTTTTTTCTTTCTTATACTATTAGTAAGTAAGCTAAACAAAATATTCAAACTCTAGGAATGTTCACAAAAAGAATGAAATACTGGAACATTTTAAAAAGGGAAGGGGGGGGGGTGTGGTTAAATTAGATGTTCTGTTTTGGGATAGGGGCCAAAAATGTATTGTTTTTTTCTTTCTTATATGATATGTATAAGTATAATTCCAAAGAAAGGCTCCAGTGTGTGTGAATGGATCAAACTTAGTAGACATTCTTATTATTCTATATTATTCAAATACTGGTACTGAAGGGTAATGAACTCATTATTTTAATTTTCCCTAAAACTAATTACACGGGGTTGCTCATGCTGGCATTCAGAAATGAACATTTTTTAAAACCTTTAAGTCTTTAATCTAAACTAAAGTACCTGTAAAAAAAACATTTTCGCACCTAACAAAAACATTCAATACAATCAGAAAAGTATCGCGATCCCCAGTGGGATCCCGATCCCCAGAAGAATCCCTTCCCAGTTGTGATCCCATTCCCCAGTATGGGATCCTGTTACCGATCTCAGTGAGATCCCGATACAATAGGATTCCGTTTCCCAATGGGATCCAATTTCCCGATGGGAACCTAAAACCGGTGGGATCCAGTTTCCCCGATGGGATCCCATACCTGTTAGCAATGCCAGCCTAAGGTAAACTTTCGCCCTGTGTGAAGCACTTGTTCGGCGCCCCCTTCCCCAATGTTAGCATCCAAATTAAGAATGTAACTTTCATTTTTTATGAAAACTCATTGAATGAAAAGGGACTACGAAAAATTAGAATACTTGACTCCGGACCCGAGATTCACACTTCACTAATAAACTAAGGGAATTTAAATACTTACAGGGTGCCCCTGTGGCCACGGCGCCCTGTGCGAGGGCACAGGTCGCACGCGCTAAAGGCGAGTGTTGCCGTTGGGATCCTGTTCTCTGAGTGATCTCTATTCCCAGTGGGATCACATTCCCCGGTGGGGTCCTGTTCTCCGGTGAGATCCCCTTCCTTTGTAGGATCCTGTTCCTTGGAAGGATCCCGTTCTCTGTGTGATCCCATTCAGGTTGGGACCTATTCTATGTTGGGATACTGATACCATATTGTGTCAAGTTTTTTTTATTGGATCCTGTCCCCCTATAGGATCTTGTATCCTCAGTGAGATCACGTTCCCGGGGGATCCTTTTCTCTGGTGGGATTATGGAGGGTTTTGGCCAATTTTGGCCAAGATCCATCAATACACGAAGTAGCATGTACCGTATTCCAAGCCTTCAACTTCATTTATGTATATATCTTAGGCTATAATAATGGACAATTAATTTGGAACTTTCTTGTGTAGGCCCATTTCATTAGTGCCTGTGTCATAGCTTGGGTGGTGGAGGTGGGGCTGAGGGCGAGGGGAAGCTTGGCTAAGTGGTGAGTTAAAATATTTCATACTGTGCTTTGTCAAGAATCATTGTAATACATAGTTGACAGCTTGGGTTGTTTTTTTTTAAGTTTGTCACATTGATTAAAAATATATTAAGTTCTTGTTTGCCAGTTAGGATGTGCTTTGGAGGTACTTTTTTTCTCAATATGGCACTAAACCTAGCTACCTAATTGCTTTGGAGGTACTTTTTTTCTCAATATGGCACTAAACCTAGCTACCCAATTGCTTTTGGCATATTAGTCACATCGGCATCTGTTTATATGGGCTTAATTATAAATCCATAACTAAGATATTCCTAACTGGATTGTTTACATTTTTCTCTCTGTTTCTGCCATTTTTATTCTGAATTTTATTAAAATATTAATTTAAAAAACTAAATTTTATTTAAATAATTTCCTTATAACTCCTTCTTCACCAGACGCTGCAAAATGATTAAAAAATAATATTTTATGGTTACCATATTATCAACAAAACTTTTCTAAGCGTTTTTCAGCTGAAACTTAATAATAATTTTATACATAATCAATGGCCATACAATATATTTTAATATAAACATCTTTTTTAACTAACTTTTTCATTTCTTTAAAACAGAATGACAAAGCTTTAGATTTTTTAATGTGAAGAAAAAGTAAAATTCATTATAAGCTGAACCATTTCTCCTTAAAATTCAAATTAAAACATTCTCACCATGCTCTTTCCGTTTTTGTATCCCTTATAAAACCATTGTTTATTAGACATTTCAATCAATCAACACAATGATATCTATGAAAATTAAAACATAATAGAAATAACATATTCCATTTTTATTTCTGTAGTCCAGGTAAATACTTTTTACAATCTGTCAGCAAATCAGTGATTCTACTGACCCCCAATCATCCTTCCACCACCCCCCTAAACCTACTGAACACAGTGCTGATTTTTTTCTGTTTTAACAAATCTGGATTATATGTTCTAAGTGTGGATTTATTAACTGTGCAATTTTTATTGTGATATGACCTTTTTCCAGAACTGCTCTTAGATTTTAGGTTATATTTTTTATACCTAGGCTTAGCTAATCAAAATTTCTTTTCACTGCACATTATTATTATTATTAAGGTGGTTTTTATACAGCGCAGTACTCCAGCCCAGGGCTAGGCTTCTTAACAATTACCAATTACAGAAAATTATACATTTAAAAACAACAATAAGTAAATAGCTTTACCTCTCCCACACAAGTACTATCTAGCCATGGACAGCACCCAGCAGCATTGAGGGTTGTTTATCAGTTAGAGGGTGGCAACTCTATATAGGAGCTACCTACTTGAAACCTATTTGAAAAAAATTAAAGATCACTGTATACTACACTTTTCATATGGAGAAGAACAAAGTTAATGATCAATCAATACTAAACTTTTCATATGCATAAGAAAACAAAAATAATGATCAATCAATACACTTTTCAGATGTATAAGATTATTTTTATTGATCCCAATAAATGGAAATACATTTTGATTACATTGTACATATTCATTTTCATTGTACCGGTGTGGTTAAACATTCTGATTAACATAGCAATTTTTTAACCAAAACATTTTAAATGTAAGATGTTAAGTATTTCTCAAGTTCAAAAGCCAGCCATTATATTTCCCATACCCACTATTCTATAAGGATATTATTGACCATAAGAGTAATTATTTGATTTTTTTTCTTAGTCAATTTTCAAATTTCTTTAAAATTTTAGGGGTAATAAGGGGAGAGACTGCAATCAGGTTAGTACAAAATAAAATGAGTAAAACAGAGTAAGGTTAAACCTGAAAAATTAAACGCAACAAAACAGCGAACGTGTCGGCAGAAAGCCTTCGTCAGCGAACAAAACAACAGAAAAAACGTTATAAAAATAAGAAATAGCACTTAGCTGGTAAGTAGTATCAGCAACAAAACAGCGAACGTGTCGGCAGAAAGCCTTCGTCAGCGAACAAAACAACAGAAAAAACGTTATAAAAATAAGAAATAGCACTTAGCTGGTAAGTAGTATCTGTGGGCAGCAATAGAAGTGTTCTTATTTTTATAACGTTTTTTCTGTTGTTTTGTTTGCTGACGAAGGCTTTCTGCCGACACGTTCGCTGTTTTGTTGCGTTTAATTTTTCAGGTTTAACCTTACTCTGTTTTACTCATTTTATTTTAAAATTTTACTAGCCTAATTAAACATTATATCAAATTTACTGATTATAACTGTATGTTTTTGATTCTTATCAAGCCTTAGTTCAACAATGTTACCTTGTACAAATTGACACTTATTTAACTTTTAAACATTTTTAACGCTATTTCTATGATAGTTATTGGAAAATTGTGACACTTTGTCAACATAACTTCAATACCCTTTAGTCATATATATTCTTGCAACTAAAACCAATCAATTATCTAACATGACTTTTATAATGGTACAGTCTATCTGTTATCTTACTTGAATTTCATAATTGTATATTCTGTCTGTTACAGACATGTTTACTCTTACGATTTAGGCGTAAGATTTTGAGATGTCTTTTACAATTGTACGCCGTGACCCATCAGAGCTACGATTTTAAGAGACCAGTTTGAATATATATACATTCCAGTAGTTTTTTCCGACTAATACAAATATAATTAATTAAAAAGTACATCTTCAGTTTTTAGTTTTAACTTGTATATGCATTCTACATGAAGCAGTGAATGGATCCAGAAATATGATTGGTTGCGGACCATCTATAATTATTTTACATTTGCCCTGAGTGGTGTTAATTTAGGAGATTTTGTGTTTGGGGGTTGTGGTCTAAATATGTATTAATCTAAAATTAACACCGCCACATTTTCATAATGATATTATTTGGGTGGGGGGTGGGGGTCTAGGAAGAAAGTATGTAAGTTATTAAAAAATTCTACAATATTCATCCTGAAAGTCCAAACATAGCATATTTATGGCAGTGTTTTGTAGGAATCATTGCCATGTATTTTCACAAATGAACTTGCTAGATACACTCAGACAGTACTCAGTAGTAGAGGTGTCACAGTTATACTTTTTCACATATATTTTGTGGGACTACGCCAGTGGTTCTAAAATTTTCACAAGGCTCCCTGCGTTAAATTCTGACAAGTGCACTCAGAAATAGCGAATACAGAAACAAAATAAAATAAAGGGTTAGTTAAAAATAAATACAACACATATGTAGGTCAGTAAGCACCATCTAGTAGTTGCAAAAATTAGTTACTCAAGTGGGTAACTGTTTGCACCAGGACCGAAAGATGTCACATTGGATTTAAAGTGGAAATATACTAACGAACACTTTTTAATATTTTGCAAAATCACTGTGAGGAAGCTGCAGCAACCCATATAGAAAAATGTTCAGCTTTTCGTCCCATTCCCATTGCTCTGCCCATGCTGTATGACAATGTTGTGACAATTATTTCTTATTGTTGAGTCGCAGCTGGTGAATGCAGAAATGGAGAAAACTAGAGAATGCACTCTCAACTATTTCGCACAGTAAAGTTAGATTTAAAAATATTTTATAGGATCTGTGGGGGCCTTTGAAATCTATTTTAGATGAAGTTAAATTGATGTACAATTTTTAATACCCCCTCTTTGCTTCACCTATTTACAGCTTGTGGTAGTTATCAGACTGTAATATGTTAACGAGAATTTGGTATAATGGATATTGATTCTTATTTATTTTAAAACAAAACATATTTTCCTAAAAATACATTTCAAGTTAGACCTGTTAAGTTTTTTTTAAATGACACCCTAATTTGTTAATTAGACTAATTTGTTAATTAATTCTTATCTATGATTCTTATTTATTTTAAAACAAAACATATTTTCCTAAAAATACATTTCAAGTTAGACCTGTTAAGTTTTTTTTAAATGACACCCTAATTTGTTAATTAGACTAATTTGTTAATTAATTCTTATCTTAATAAATTTTATTTAACCGACTTCGAGTTTGGACCATGTTAAATTTCAGCCGTAACTTTATTTTTAATATAGACAGACTGATAATGTGATCTACACGTTCACCTAATTATTAAATAACGTCTCTAGCAGATACAGGTCTGCAAAACAAAGGGATCGCAGATTGCAATATAAACATGGTCATCTACTTTTAGAAGTTACCTTTTTTGACATCAACTTAATTTAATTCCACTAGACACGCGATGCGAATAGTTATTGTATACTTTATAGATACGGTATGTTTATTTATTTTCTATTAAGTTACTGTATTGTACAATTTTGAGACGATATTGTACGATTTTTGGAGTTCGAGGGTAAACAGGTCTGCTGTTATCATCCATGACCTTCATGACTATATAGTCAGTTGGTAATCGTACATGACTTTCACGATTGTACAGACAGTCTGTATTCTTCCAATACTTTCATGATTGTACAGTCAGTCGGTTATTTTCCATGATTTTCATGATTGTACGGTGGTGAAGGATGTTCAGGAAATGTTTGAGTACTGATGCAGAAAAGGGTTATCAATTTGTTTACATTGATAATAATTCTGATGAATTATCAAAGCCAACTTGCTCAGGGAAAGTTTCCTGTGGTTGATGTTATATTTTACAACAGTGAATCTCAAATTTTATTTTATCAAGTCAATGAAATGAAAAATGAATACTTGACCAGTCAGTGGCGCCTCCGGAAAGCCAACTTGCTCAGGGAAAGTTTCCTGTGGTTGATGTTATATTTTACAACAGTGAATCTCAAATTTTATTTTATCAAGTCAATGAAATGAAAAATGAATACTTGACCAGTCAGTGGCGCCTCCGGACACCTGGGCCCTCAATTTTAACATGTCTCCTATTCTTTATTGCTGTGATCTCAACAATTTATCTATAGGAAATGGTCAAAGCAAGCATACAATCCTTGAAGTTTCCTTTGAGAACCTGTGGTGTTTGTCAGTTATTGATTCATGTGCAATGAAAGTCGATATTGATTGATTGTGTTTGGAAACTCTGAATGGCTTTGTGAGCTAAATGTGCTTGGGAAATTTCCCTGTAGAATTCGGGGATGGGAAGCAGGGGATGTTTGGACATTATTGATGACAAACAATTTATTTTGGGGTAATTTTTTGCCAATGTAAGCATTTCCTTTTTTCTTTTTTTTTTAACAGGTGACTGGAATTGTGATCTTGGCTATAGGAATCTGGACCAAGGTTGACCTGTATAAATACCTGGAGTTGTCCTCCATCTACCAGCCAGAGGCTCCCTATGTCCTCATAGGCGTTGGAGCTGTCATTGTGCTCATTGGCTCCCTAGGATGTTGCTGTACAATCAAAGGCCATTCTGTCCTGTTGTATATGGTTGGTTCTAACTGTGCCATCATTTGTCTCATCTTTTGTATTAGTCTTACTTACCAAATTGATTAACAGATTGCAGCATTTAAATCTCTATTGTAATCTCCATTTGTGCATGTTATGTAATTTCTGGGTTCTAACTCAGTGATGTAAGGTAAGAGAGGAATCATTCATTTTGAACTAATTTTTTTTTAAAACCATCTTTTCTTTCAGTTCTGCGGTTTCTTGTATGTTATTTTCATCATTGAACTCAGTGCTGGCATTGCCTTGCTGGTGTACAGGGGAAAGGTCAGTTGGATTAATTCATGTAAACACGTCTCAGTGGGACAGGCCAGTTAGATTTATTAATGTAGGCATTGTTACATGGGAAAGGTCAGTTGCATTGTGATGATTTTTTTTTTACTGTAGATGCATGGAAAACTTATTTTTTTACTGGTCCAGCGTTGATGAATAAATTTATTGGCCAATAAAAAAATTTGTGTGAAAGCTTCATTCCAGCTTTAGTGAAAACAAGCAGTATCCTGCAATTCTCACGGATTAACATATTTCTGATCACAAATTGTTTAAACATTGCCAGCTTGAGAAAGGTTTTAAAGATGGCTTGTCTGCTGCACTCCAACAATATGGACAGAAAGGGGAAGGGGAGATCACTGATGCTTTGGATGAACTGCAGAAAAAGGTATGTGGTCCATTGTGAAACCCTTGTATAAAAGGGGTATGTATGTATTACAATGGAAAAACCCTATAAGTAATTAGGCACCACCAATCGTCCATCCACCAATCGTCCATCCACCAATCGTCCATCCACCAATCGTCCATCCACCAATCATCCATCCACCAATCGTCCATCCACCAATCGTCCATCCACCAATCGTCCATCCACCAATCGTCCATCCACCAATCGTCCATCCACCAATCGTCCATCCACCAATCGTCCATCCACCAATCGTCCATCCACCCATCGCCGTGGTGCTACTGCCCATGTAGGGCTGTGGTCTGCCTCACTACGTCCCCACACTCAGACTTAACTGATGCCTTTCTTTTCCTTATTCTTCAGTCTCTGATTAAATATCTACTCTTCATTTTCTGAATTAGAAATAAGGTAAGGAGATGGATTTGTGAAATTAGGTTATGGAGAAGGGTTTGTTTATGTGAAGGAGGATGTAGCTTTGAAACTCAGTGTTTGTGTCTTACATCTGGTTTCCATAATCATGTGGGTTTTGTGTGTGTGTGTTACATCTGATTTGTTAAATCATGTTTGTGTCTTAAAGCTTGGTTGCTATGGTACTGGTTTGTTAAATTATGTTTGTGTCTTAAAACTGAGTTGTTATAGAACTGGTTTGTTAAATTATGTTTGTGACTTAAAGTTGGGTTGCTATGGTACTGGTTTGTTGAATCATGTTTGTGTCTTAAAGCAGGGTTTGCTTTGGTACTGGTTTGTTAAATTATGTTTGTCTTAAAGCTGGGTTGCTATGGTACTGGTTTGTTAAATTATGTTTGTGACTTAAAGCTGGGTTGCTATTGTACTGGTTTGTTAAATTAGGTTTGTGTCTTAAAGCTGGGTTGCTATTGTACTGGTTTGTTAAATTATGTTTGTGTCTTAAAACTGAGTTGCTATAGTACTGGTTTGTTAAATTATGTTTGTGTCTTAAAGCTGGGTTGTTATTGTACTGGTTTGTTAAATTATGTTTGTGTCTTAAAGCTGGGTTGCTATTGTACTGGTTTGTTAAATTATGTTTGTGTCTTAAAACTGAGTTGCTATAGTACTGGTTTGTTAAATTATGTTTGTGTCTTAAAGCTGGGTTGCTATTGTACTGGTTTGTTAAATTATGTTTGTGTCTTAAAGCTGGGTTGCTATGGTACTGGTTTTTTAAATTATGTTTGTGTCTTAAAACTGAGTTGCTATAGTACTGGTTTGTTAAATTATGTTTGTGTCTTAAAGCTGGGTTGCTATTGTACTGGTTTGTTAAATTATGTTTGTGTCTTAAAGCTGGGTTGCTATGGTACTGGTTTTTTAAATTATGTTTGTGTCTTAAAACTGAGTTGCTATAGTACTGGTTTGTTAAATTATGTTTGTGTCTTAAAGCTGGGTTGCTATTGTACTGGTTTGTTAAATTATGTTTGTGTCTTAAAGCTGGGTTGCTATGGTACTGGTTTGTTGAATCATGTTCATGTCTTACAGCTGGTGTGTTGTGGCATTGATGACTACAAAGACTGGTATGACACCCCGTTCAGCAGAAGTAGCGCCCTCCCGAACTCTGTACCAGAATCTTGTTGCCGTATCAGTACCAAAGAATGCATCCACACAGGACTCACTAATGAAACTGCTAGTGTCAACATTCACACACAGGTCAGTCCCCAAGCTTTTAGTCATGCATGTGCCGTGCTTGTAGAGGACAGAAATGTCAGAGGTCATGAAAGGATGTTTTGTGATTTATTTGCCTGTAAAGAAATAGTATCTATAGCAGCGGTTCTCAACCTGTGAGTCGCGACCCATTTGGGAGGTCACACAACTCTTTCCCAGGGGTTGCCTAAAACACATATACTCTACAGTTAAGAGGTAGCAGCGAAAATAATTTTGTTGTTAGGGGTCGCCACGTCATGAGGCACTGTTTTAGAGGGTCGCGTCATTAGGAAGGTTGAGAACCACTGATCTATAGTGGGGGTGATTTTATTTTTATTTTTCAGCATTGAAACAGCACCAAAAAAAAAAGGTTTTATGTTTGTGTTAACTTAATACCTGATAGAGCTGATAGAGTATAGTATTGTTAACTGCAGTTTATGGTTTTGCAATATTAAATGTAAAAATAGCAAATGAAACCTTAATTGTAAAAAGTGCTTCCTAGCACCACTGCTTTGACCAACCACTGCTGTTCCACAGGGATGTCACAAGCTGGTTGTGGATTTCATCAATGGCAACATGGGCCCGATAGGTGGAGTTGCTCTTGGAATCTCATTTTTCCAGGTAAATTCCAAGGATAATCTTGTTTCACTTTTAAGAAAAACTATATCTGGAATGGACATGTTTAAACACTTAAGTTATAGGTCAACTTAGGTATAGCAATTGGCCCCTTAATGATGCATCCTTCACATTTTCAGAAACAGTCAGGCCTAGCTAAAAAATATGCTATTAAAAAAAAATGTGAAAGTTTCAGAATGAATACAATAACCAAATTTTTTTGTTTTTTAAAAATAATTCTAATCTGTATGATAATAACTGAATGTAAATATGAGGTGGTGTGTATGCATCAGTTGAAAACATACAAGTGAAGTAATTCATGTTAACTTTTGGTGCTGGGTTAGAGGAGAGCTTTAACCAGCTGCAATCAAAGCTTGTGTGATTTTCATCTTGAAAAACTCATTGTTTTGTGACGGCAATGAGTTAAAAATTTTATCACTGTCATTTTTGTAACCCTGTGTAGCCCCACTTCCCCCTCCACCCACACACAGCCGGACACAAAAGCTTCCATCCTGGCCACCTGCTCCCATTATGGCCGTTTGATATGCGGATGATCATTTATTTATGTATTTGTTGTTAGATGATACATACCTAATTTTATTTTGAAAAACACAATTTTGTAAAGGTAAATGAAAATGCTGTACTGAAATATAACTAGAAATAATTTTGTTTGCAGGTCCTGGGAGCAGTTCTTGCATTTTGTTTGGCCAAGTCGATCAGCCGGGCCAAGTATGAGCAGGTCGCTTAGTGGGCATCCTGACTTGACTGCAGGGCAACAGTGGTGCAATGAAACCATCAAATTTATGCTGTTGTATGTTAAAAATCTTGAACAATTCTTAATGAGGTTAAAAATACTTAATAAAAATATTTTTTACTGTGTAATATAAAATATAAAAAACAGTTTCTGAATTTTTTCCAAATTTTTCAGGGTTACATTCGACCAGCCAGTTTTGTTAACATGGCAGGGTCAGTTTAAAATAAGAGTAATGTCATGATCGATAAATTGTTTCCAGAATAACAAGATTCATTTCTTGTCAGTTTCACCTTGTTTAAAATAAAAAAAATTAGATGAATTATCTGTTTACAAAATTGTTGAAGATTTCTGGAACCAAATAATTCATGATTTTTTAAAAATTTCTCCACTTCGCCTCTTCGCCTCTTCCGGATGTTAACTTCTGCTTCAGACTTCTTTTTTAAAATTTTCAATTCTTTGTCTAGATAGGATTTTGTTATGCCTTTATTCTTGGTGTGTTTTCATTGGTCACAATTGTTTCCATAAATAGCACATTTTTTTTTTTGCACCAATACTTTCAATCAAACAACATAAGTGATCAAACAAGAGAAATATCTTGTACTTCATACAAAAAGCCAAAATACACAACTGGAAAATTAATCTGGCTGCTCTGTCAAGCTCAAGTAGATCAGATTCAAAATCAGACACAGTTTATCAAAGTAAAAAGTCTTGAGAGGCAAACATTTCTTATAGATTTGTTTCAGATTTCATGTGATATGTGCTGGGCTGCTTAATGTGATTGTCTACTATTTTTAAATCCTTGCTAATTCTGTTACTGACATTGTACACAACTATGTCATCAAATGTCCATGTGAACATCAAAATTATATATGTTTTTAATTTTGTTGACTGTGTCCTAGTTCATGAAGCTTAACAAATACTCAAATGGGTAGGTACTCTGTTATCTACTAGTTTTGTCCGCTCTGGTCAGTGTAGCTTAACAAATACTCAAAATGAATGGCTGAGTGCAGTTGATCTACTGGTCCCACCTAACACTATCCTGTCTGGAATATTTCATGCCTAATGGACTTCCAAATGAAATTTTTTGACAACTTGTCATATTTTACTCTTAGTCAAATTAATGTCATCTGTGTTACTTCCCCCAACCCCCATTTGTTCCCCCTTGCTTCCACCAATCTGTCAGCCTTTCATTGCTTGCTCCCACCCCTTTCTTTCTCTCCCTTTAAAAAATCAGTCAGTTTTTGTCAGTCTATCCCAACCTCTGGTTTTCATACAATTTTAAATTGGTGTATTTTCCCCCAGTAATTAACACTTTCAATGTCATATTCCTTACTTTGACTTATTCTGACCAATATGGCTTTCTTTATGGTAATATGGGTGGGGGGGGGTGGGGGGCTCTCCATTAAAGACGTATGAAGTAAATAAAAAGAGCAACAAAATATGTTCAGGCTTTTAAAAAAAAATGAAACCAATAAAAGGACGTTTCAGCTAAATGCCTTCTTTCATCAGACAATACAAAACAAGAAATGAAAAATTATTTGAAATTAAAAACTTGTGTTTCCAGATCACAATGTAGCTCTCTCATTCTCCTTTAAGGTTAGGTATTGTTTCATAATCTCACCTTCAGATATTTTTTTTATTATTAATGCTCAAATACTTCCTGTTGAGAATTTAAATCTACAATTAACCCTTTGAGTTCACTGCCATAACTTCTAAGACTTTGATCTGTACAAAGCTTTGAAAAGATAACTTCATAAGTGTTAATAGTTTTACTTAAAATATGTTTAAAAAAATGTGTTTATGGATTACTTCTATTTAAGACGGTTTGGATAAAAGGTATGAAACTACAGGGTATCAACTCTTATTTTAACTATTTGACTGAACATACCCGGTACTTAACAATTGTTAATGTTTAAATTTATATAGGGACTCTACTTAAAATGGTTGATTGGAACCATTTGAGTGAATCGTCCTTAAACATTGCAACTGTAACTTATTTGAGTTTCAACTTGTCTACAAGTCTCACACTTAAGTGAATCTACTTAATTATTTTGTTTTATAGAATGATTTTGATTGGTTTATACTTAACAAGGCCAATGCTTAACTAGTCAAAATTTTTACTTTTGTTATCCTCCACATTTTAATGGTGGAATTTATTTGTTATGCTACGTAGTTTGGTACAGACCTGAGAATTTCCTTTATATACCCGGCATTGAGTAAACTATGTGATGTGGTGCATTGTACAATTATGTAACAATTCCTTTTAAAAATTGTTTTTGTTAAAAGAATTGGCTCTTATTTACAATCCAATATATTTAATAAACATTCAAGTGATCACATTCCTACAGTCTGTATTTCTAGTCAGATATTTCTCAAACATTATGTTAGCAACTTGAAGTGAGGTTAGAGCGCACCTGCAGGACAGTGTTCTCCCTGAATGTCAAATGAAACCAGGACTAGTTTTAAAAGTGGCTGTGATTTTTAAAAAAAATTTTTTTTACATTTGATATGTTCGTTAAAATTTTATGTTGATTGGAGTTGATATTCTATTTGCTAAAAATAATTTTTAGTTCATATTGAAACTTTTAAAATATCCAGTAGCTGTGGAACAATTGGTTTTTGACGAAAATCTGAGGGGAGGGATCTTTAATAATGATCTTGAAGTTTTTATCTTTGACTGAATTATTTTATCCTTCAATGTGTTACAATTTTCTTTTTCATGTCTTAAATCTGTTGGAAAATGTTGTGTGATATTTTATGACCGTTTTTTAAAAATTCAAATCAAACTGGCCATTCTCAGTGAATCAAATCTCAAAATGTGTATTTACTTTTCTTACAGTTCTTTCAATTTCCGCTTTTTAAAACAAACAAATTCTTTTTCTATGTACCAAACTTTTATCTTGCTAATCACTATTAGATCTACCTGCTTCTTTGTTATTTTCATGTGTTTTCAAATTTTTCGCTATTGTTTTGTCAATGCCGTGACTATTGAATACTGGAACTATGTTGTATAATTATGTAGAAAATCCCCTAAGTTTTGTGCATTTGACGGAAAGTATTAAATTTTCTCCCCCCGTAACCATAGAACTAATAATGATTTTAAATAATAGAAACAGAATCTCTAGATAAAGCTTGCATAGACCACTTTCCCTAAACACTGATGAGTCGAAATTGTTCAGCTGGTTTATCAGTTTTTGCTTGGCACAACACATTCCAAAGTGAAACACACAAGGACTACAAAAAATGTTTCTTGTGCTAATTAACTAATTCTGGATCTTCTTTAGTAAAGACTGTTTAACTTAATGAGCACACTGAGTTGAAAACTGGGTAGGCTCTCAAACTGATAAGAAGGGGAAAAAAAATCTGTGGAGCACTTATGTTCTGTTAGAAGTGAATAGCAAATAACAAACTTGATATGGCATAAGTACTTAAGAAAACCTTACATTATATTTACCAAAGTTTTAGATCTGTCTTAAAAAATAATCGTATTCCCAGTTTTGATTCGTGCAATAAAACTCCCTAATTTAAAATTGTGTTTGTTGTTTTTTTTATAACCTAAATCATATAGTATATGTGTCAATATTTTCCTGATATCGATTATTTTTAATGCAGACTGTTTAAATAAGGAGTATATATCTGTTATCTAAACAAGTACCAAATCTCTCCACTTGTTGGGGAATTCTTGCTCAAGCAAACATAAACATGTTAAGATATCCAATTCAGATTGGGAGGGGCCAAGACATCCACTAAGAAATGGGAGGGGCTAACTCACTAAGATATTCACTAAGAATCGGAAGCATCAGTACCTAATATGTTTAAAAGGTCAATTATTTCAACCATTTTTCTAGCAATCACTTGTCACAATTTTATTTTCTAAATTCAAGTATTCTCTTTGCAATTCAATAAATTGATTAGAAGTCCATTATTTTCACTGTTTAAAATGTAATTTGGAAAGGGGGGTGCGAGACTTAAAAAAAATAATTTATAGTGTGAGCAAGAGTAGTCTAATAATTGGTAGGAGATGTGGGATGTGAAAAAGGTTGGGAAACACTGATTTAAATTAACATTTTTTTTAAATTTGTGATTTTCTGTTGGTAGCTTGATCAAGTGTGGATCTCATAACAATCGAAGCTTTTCATAATTTGGGTTTTCTATTTCACCTCTAAGGAGTATTAATTGGCCTGCACAGATTAGAATGATATTTTAAGACTATATTCCTTAGAGAAGTGGGTTTCATAGTCACAAATTCCAGTTTGAACTCTGTTGCATCTTCTGTGGCCAGACAGGAAAGACATTTTTTGGTTAGTCCAGGGGAGGACCTCAACCTTTGATCAGGCAGGTCCTCATAGGAGGCACATATTTCTTTTAATTATTAGTGGTCTACTCAGCTGCCCCTGAAATTTTATTTTTAAAACAGCATCTGTTCAACTTTTTTTTTCCTACCACTGTTAAAAGCAAACTTCTGGTAGACAACATTGTGGCTCAGCAAACTTCTAGTAGACAACATTGTGGCTCAGCAAACTTCTGGTAGACAACATTGTGGCTCAGCAAACTTCTGGTGGACAACATTGTGGCTCAGCAAACTTCTGGTAGACAACAGTGTGGCTATCACATCTGCACTAATCACAACCAACTCAAAACTTGGCTACACAAAGAAAACTTTAAAAATACTGTAGTTTTAATGAAACTTTTATTTTCATTTTCTTGAATACAAGTAGTAGACAACAGTGTGGCTATCACATCTGCACTAATCACAACCAACTCAAAACTTGGCTACACAAAGAAAACTTTAAAAATACTGTAGTTTTAATGAAACTTTTATTTTCATTTTCTTGAATACAAGTAAGCAAATCAACAATTTTATTACATTACAAAGACAAATCACACTTCAACAATTTTATCAAATTACAATTACATATCTCACTAACATTAATATTTCATTCATTAAATAAATCTACAGTAAAATATTAAATTACAAATCTCTTTGTCGGTAATATCTTTTACCTCATTTATGGCAACCGTTAATTTAATTTAAAGAATTTCAAAATGTATATTTATTACCCAAAGATATGTATGTGTTTTCTATATTATATATACAACAGTACGCTCAAAATGGTTATTTATATTTAGTACCGGGTAATAGAGCAATTAACAACCACCCCAACAGTGCAAGCCTTTTAGATCTCAAAACATTCATCAAAATACATGAAGAATTTGTCATACAAATTATTTTGATACATTAAAGGCTTTCCATTAAAAAAAAAAAACTTCTTACCAGTTCAACAACATGTGTACATATTCAGTGTGGAGCCAGCTCAACAACACATGAAGATATTCAGTGTGGAGCCGGTTGTCAACAAATTTTGTGTACATATTTCCTACTTTTCCCCTCTATTTAAAAGTAAATATGCATTTTGTGAAAAGGCTAATGATCCGAAATAAGGATGATGGTAAGCAGGCATGAATTACTCACTACCCTGAACACCATAAAGTAGTCTGATAGAAACTACAGTTCTAATTGGTTAGAAAAACCCATCCTTATTTTTACTTGGACAGATTTTTTTTAAACTTAAAATATACACGAAAATTCCATCATGAATTTTTTTTATACAATAACAAACTGAAATTTTTTTAAAGTTTTTTCTTCAAAGCAAAATAGTAAAATAAAAAATTAACAGCCTCTTTAACTGGGATAAATTACCATTTTGTGACCATTGACAAAAGTTTGAAACAAAAATAAATAGAAATTGTATGTCTACATTTATATGTTGCCCTGCTTAAGCAAATTAGACAAATTTCAGAAGCTAATTATTCAGTCATAATCTGAGCTCATGTCAGTTCCCTGATATTACTAGCAAACGTCAGGTGTTCCCTGATATTACAAGCAGATGTCAGATATTACCCGATATTACAAGCAGATGTCAGATATTACCTGTTATACAAGCAGACTTCAGATAGATATTCCCTGATATTACAAATTACAAGCAGACTTCAAATCGATATTCCCTGATATTTCAAGCAGACATCTTTAGTTCAACTATTTGAGGTTTTTCCTTACCGAGTTGATGGCATTCTTCAGGCAGCAACTACTACTAGACCCTTTTCCTAACAAGGTCAGTCTGTCCCACAACTGCACACAGCTATTTATATCAAATGCACTGCCACATCTGCTCCACAACATGTTTTTATTCCAACTCCACAATGATGTCTCCTTCATTCACAGTTTCCCCTGTCTTGAAGTAAACTTTCTTCACCTACAAAACAGAGCACATTGTAAGTTGAAATTGACTGTACGAATTGATTATTTAGCTTATTCAAGAGTCTTACACCTGGTGCAATGAGAATCGGCTCAGATAACTGGTTAGCTGACCTTACAAATCGATTCTTTGACTTATTCAAGAACTTCACACCAAGTGCAATAAGAATTGGCCCAGATAACTAGTCAGCGGACCTTACAAATTGATTCTTTGACTTATTCAAGAGCTTAACATCTATTGCAATAAGAATGAAATCAGATAACTGGTTGGCCATTAATTATGATCAATTCCTATGGGAACTGATTCAACTGAAATCCTTGACATTGCATCAACTTTCTTGTCTGTCAATTGTCACTCAGCTATGATGAGGACACTGACCTTTCCAACCTTGGCACTGACCAAACTATTCTGCATCTTCATTGCTTCGAGGACACAGACTTCTTGGTGTTCAGCCACCTAAATACAAACAGAATTTCATTCTACAACCAAGGGATAAATACAGATTTCCAATTATAAAATGTTGAGATTCACTTGTTACAATATAATAAATCACAGTACTACAAGAAAATGCAAGTACAAGATTGACTTGACTGTATTCCACTTACTCTAGTCAAAAATATTTTACATGAATTGTATGTATTTTTGTATGTTTTTAAATAGTGACAAATTCTGAGTCTATAGTACTGAAGATATTATGCGTATTAATATATATATACATTCAGTATATGATAGATATGATGAACATAATGTGTATATAAATATGTACACATACTGACCATGTCGCCAGCAGCCACATTGACTCCTCTCAGCATGCCTGGCATAGGGGCCATGACCAATGTGCTGGTGTCCACTACTTTCTTCTCCAGCATGTACTGACTCAACTCAAAGGCCAGATCATCCAACACTTTCACAGGATACTGGGGGGCAATTCAATTGAAGTTTAAACTATTGCTGACTATTACCGACTATTCTGTATTCATAAGAACTCTTATTTTACTAGCTGCATTTATCAATTCTTTGAAATAAAAATCAAAATTATCAAAACTTGAAGCCATTTCAAAGGTGCTAAATACAGACATGAAACTCCCAAAATAGTACAAAATTGTTTCAGAATAGTTCTTTACCATCTCAAAATTGTACAATACTTATCGTAATAGTAAATATACAGTATAATATTTACCATTTCAAAGGTGCTAAATACAGACATGAAACTCCCAAAATAGTACAAAATTGTTTCAGAATAGTTCTTTACCATCTCAAAATTGTACAATACTTATCGTAATAGTAAATATACAGTATAATATTTTATAGAATACTATTTAATTTGCATCCCATGTCTAAAAAATATCACTTGCCAATGCCCTCTTCCCCAAAAAAATTTGCTAATTCATAATGCATGATACACTTTGGTGTATGCCTGAATATAATTTTGCATCATATTAACTTCAAGAAATGTTTGTGGAAAATAATCTATTTTACTTTTTCAAAATCCTTTAATTTTAGTATCAGCAGTTACTACATTGCATATTTAAGATTATTTCAATCCATTTTCAAATCTGTCCAAAAAAGGGGCCGGTACACTGCAATGGCTTGTTGCGTCACAAACAAGTGATATATTTATAATTCAAATGTGCGATTGTGCAAAAAATGAAAATAATTGCTAATTGAATAAAGAAACAAGTTCATTTGAGATAAACTCAGAGGGCCACGATATTTAAGGACCACAGGTGGCCACCCCTGCATTCAGTCTAGCAGTTAGATTGCATTTTCCATTAACATTATAGACTAATTACTACCACAAGCTCTATTGGAAGTAAGGAAGATGAGCGCTGCAACCAAACTGTGGTTTTAAAATTGTACAGCTGGTTAGAGACTTCTAAAATTTAGATTACAAATGCCTCTTACCAGATATTTTTAAAAATTTAAAAATCTAGGGCAAGTGTGCTGAGCAGTTGAGAATGCATTTTTTTTTTAAATACATAGTTTTCTCCATTTTCACAATCGCCGCAGTCCAGCCTTAGAATGAAGTAATTATGTCACAAATATACCCCATGCAGCAACTAAGCAAAAAAAACAAACAAATTTTGACTAAATTTGTCACTAGGGCCACTACACTAATTTATGGCCTATACAAATATTTAGACACCACCTCCCATGCACACCAGAACAATCTTAAGTCAGCTCCATCCCCCTTCCCACCTCATTGTGTACCTAATATAATAAAATTATGGATGGTCCCAACCAAATCATATTTCATGGTTCATTCCCTGGAAAAACTAACAACCTAAAATTTTAAAATGTTCTCTTTTTTTAAATTTTTATTTTACTTTATTATAAAAATTATAGAAATATATTTTGATTAACTCAGTCTTTTTAAATCGTAGTTCTGACAGGTCTTGTTGTAAAATCTTATAAGACATCGAATAATTGTATTCCAAAATCATTAAATGACCAGGTCTATATATATATTGAGGTCAAACTTTGAATCTTCTCACCATTATAGTAGAACCATGCATTGACTAAATAATTTAAAATTACAACAGTCACTGTGATAACTGAAACTAACCACTGTCCCATGGAAACGTAGATCGTATTTACCACCTCCATGTCTTTGGTTGATCTGCCAAATAAGAAATAAAAATTCATGAACTAGTCCTTCAAATAAACAAGTGAACTCCTCCATAAAATAAGAATAATCATCCATTAAATTTAAATAAGAACAATTAATCATTTAATAAATCAGCCAACTTTAAGATGAAAGCAGCCAATGATGAAACAATGATCAACAATAATAATATAAATAATTGGCTTCTCAAAGAAAACTATGTAGAACAATTTTCTGACTAACATGCTGTAAACCCTGTGCTTGTCATAATGCCTTTCTGATATAATCGGCTGTTGACAAAATAGTCATTAAAAATGCTAATGATGTAATGTTTGCTGGTTAAGGAGAAATCACTCTATATCAATGGTTTTAATCCCTATTTATATTTCTATTTGCTTGTTGCTGGAGAGGGTCCCACTCTAGATTTCAAAATCAACATAAGACTACATTGGATTTATTTCAAATGGATTAAAATGATAGCAATGATTACAGAGATATGCGATGTGTTAGCATAGACAATATAAACTTAAGCAGTTATGTCGTACGAGTCATCATATAATAACAAATTTACCCCTAAGCTTAGTTATATTGTTACAGACATATTCATTTGGGAATGGGTGAAAATCGAAGAGAAAAGACAAAAATTGAATCCCAAATACTTTTCTAAAGTGATTCAAAGAAACTGACGTTTGCGTTATGTTCTGGAGTATTAATTATTAAAAAAATTTGTAAGAATTTTTGAACTAATTTTTTTAATTTTTTTATTACAATGTAAGTACATAGAACTTTACATTTTATAACTTTTCTAAAAGAATATTGCTCCTAGTATCTTAAAAACTTTGATTTTATGAGAGATTGAACAAATTATGGAGTATTTAGCTTGGATTGAATGCATAAGTTGAGTTGTACAATTTTACTCTCTTTGTATAAAAAAACAAATTCTTTTCATGCCTTAATAAAATAACTTGTCCAATTTACTTTCAGAAAATGCACACCTGTAAGGGCCTCTGAATTCATTTAGTATGTGATTCTGTTATTTTTGTAAAGCAATTGAAAAGGCTAAAAATGGCTTGACCCCACAGAAAAAATGCACTTGACAGTTAAAGGGTTAAGCATACTCCCAAGTTTCGGTAAGCACCTGCCTACTCTGTAACATTCTGCACTTCGCAGTATTAGCAACCATCCACGCAACTTCTTAAGTTTACTGCTATTCTCGCTCTTTTGTATAAAAAGCTATGAATATGTTTATCTTCTTTCTTTATTTAATGAAGAGAAGTTAACATTGGCTGATGTATTTCATGAGCTGTTGACCATTTTCTGATAGATCAGAGCAATAATGGACTCATCTGAAGCAACATCCGACAGTCTAGGATAGAGAGATGACTGACTTACCTGCAGTAGCCTCTGACAGTAGCATTGAGAGATGACTGACTCACCTGCAGTAGCCTCTGCTCCCCATTCAGTGTGAGGTCCATCAAGGGAGAAGTAAATGAAAGATTTCCCTTGACTTCAAAAACATCTCCCGCTATGACAACCTGGTTGGTGGACACGAGATAATCTCGAATTATAAAACAAATCTGTCGCTATGACAACCTGGTTGGTGGACATAAGAGATCATCTCAAATCATTATAAAACATATCTGCAGTTATGACAACCTCGTTGGTGGACATGAGAGATCATTTCAAATTATTTTAAAACAAATGTTAAAATTTCCATTTTCACACAAATCTATGAACACCTGATAGTTACCTTGTAGCCATCTTGAATCTTTGTCACCTGGGCATGGAAGCGGACCTTGTTGATTAGAGTGTTTAGTGACCAGGTGTTTTTGGAGGAGGCGACTAATGGAATCCTGGGAGGAAGCGGGGTGGACAGAAAAAGCAGTCGACATCAGTGAAAATTGAATCGCATGTTTTTTTTATTGAGCCAGTCCAATGTTTGTTTATGTCTAGAGCCGGTTTAATTCAGTCACACAAGTGTATGAAACAATATGATAGCAAAGGTAAAATAAACTATCAAATATTTTTTTGCTTTGTTTTATAGAATGTCTCGTAAGAAAGACCCTTGACTCTAACCTCTTTTGGTTGATGAATGTCCTTGACCTCTGCTGATCCTTGAGGTACACTGCACATGCTAATGCTGTCAGCTCCTGGCTTTGTCTTATATTTAGCTGTTTACCTGTCGATGAAGGTAAATATATTTACATCTGTGACTGGGTCGACAAGTTATATGTGAGCTGAGATTATTAACTAAACTGACAAGTCAAGTAAATTATCTATTGACACCTGGGACTGAGTGGACAGTTTATATCTGAACTGAGTTTATGATCTCAAGTGATACTTTTGTCATTTTATTTTAAATATAATAACAAAACAAGAAAGGGCAGCAGCTCCAACATAGCGAACCTTTGAAGCCATCAGGGAAAACCTCCGGCAGGAAGTTGGTGCTGATGTCTCCCCTCACAAACCTTTCTTCAGTGAGAATATCCCTCAATAATGGTATGTTGTGTGTTACACCTGAAACAAGTCAACAATAGAGGTGTGTAGTGTGTCACACAGTCAACAATCCCTACTGTCAAGGTGTGTAGTGTGTCAGTCAAAAATCCTTAATGGCTGCTTGTGTAGTGTGTCATCTAGTCAACAATCCTTAATGTCACAAGGTGTGTAGCGTGTCACAGTAAAAAATCCTTAACTCCAGGGTGTGCAGTGTATCACACAGTCAACAATCTTTAATGTCAGGGTGTGTAATGTGTCATCTCGTCAATACTTAATGTCTGGGTGTGTAGTGTGTCGCAAAGTTAACAATCCTGAATGTCCGGGTGTGTAGTGTGTCACACAGTTAACAATCCTTAATGTCCGGGTGTGTAGTGTGTCCCACAGCTAAAATCCTTAATGTCAGGGTCTGTTGTCACATATACACCCTGCTGCTTCCCCAATTCTTCTCTAAAAAAACAAGTCTAACGTTCCTTGGTAAAGTACATTATTTAGCACTTTGGTTTTTGTCAAAGGAAATATAAATTGTTCACCTCTGTCAATCACAGTGACCCACCTTTGATGACATAAGAGTCAAGGGCAGTTATCATGGTATCCATGGCGGACTGCCTGTCCCTTCCATAGGTTACAAGTTTACAGATCATAGGATCGTAGTAAATGCTGATTTCACTTCCCTCCATGATGCCACTGTCGCAACGAGTCTGTCAAAATACAATAACATCTCTTCATGACAACAAATATAACTTTACTTCTGCATCTGACAAACCTCACAAAACTAAAACTTTTTTTTGTAATGTTTAATTAGCTTCAGATGGAACATGACCAGATGTATCCTGGGATAAAAGCAAAACAGCTTTGAGTTTATCAAAAGTTACGGTAGCTTATAGAGCATTGTGATGAAGCTATGTAAAAAAAAAAACTATGAAAATCAAAGGTAAGCATCTTCTATAATTGTAGGCTTATGATCAAGATGATGGCCACTTACATTACTCAGATGGGTTGGCTCTACATAACTATAGATGGCATTCCAAAACTTTTATAGGGATCCTAGATGCCGAGAAAATCAAAGGGGATATAGAATAATGAGTTACTGTGGAGAGCGAACATCAAAGTGACAAATTTTAAAAATTACACAAGAGACTTCAGGGACTGTACAACGATGAGCATAACAGAAGTCAAGCTGATCTTCAGGGACTATACAAATATGAGCATAACAGAAGTCAAGCTATCTCCAACTGTGGGGACATTACCTCTGCATAGACACGACATTCAATGGCCCAACCGTCCACGGGAATGTCTGATTGTTTGTGTAAAAGCGGGTGGCCATGAGCCACTCTCAGCATTTGGTGGACAATGTCCACTCCTGTGATCATCTCAGTGATAGGGTGCTCCACCTGCAGCCTGGTATTCATCTCAAGAAAGTAGAAATTTTTATTCTTGTCCACTAGAAACTCTACAGTGCCTGGAATTAATTTTAAAAAAATGTTATAAAATTTTAACTATAATTTAAGTTCAGCTGTAAAATTGTAATCACATTGCTGATAGTTTTAATAGTTGTTGCCCCTACCTGCCGAATCGTAGCCCACTGCGTGAGCAAGTCTGCAAGCCTGTTCACCCATTGCCTGACGAGTCGCAGAGTCCAAAAACACACTAGAAACACAAGAGTGGTCAGAACTTGAACATACAAAATCCACCCAGTTTAAATATGTCAACTTTTGAAACGTACAACATCCACCCAGTTTCAATATGTCAGACCAATAAAACCAGAGGTGCTTATACAACATCCACCCAGTCTCAACATGTCAGACCAATAAAACCAGAGGTGCTTATAAAACATCCACCCAGTCTCAACATGTCAGACCAATAAAACCAGAGGTGCTTATACAACATCCACCCAGTCTCAACATGTCAGACCAATAAAACCAGAGGTGCTTATACAACATCCACCCAGTTTCAATATGTCAGACCAATAAAACCAGAGGTGCTTATAAACAAACAGATATCAAAATGGTTTTTGGTTTTTATTTTTTTTACTGCAATGTTAACAATCTCATTTTTTACATTTATTCTGAGAAATGTTGTCCACATGATCATCCATTGGATTCATGATGAAATAACTGGCAAGCTACCCACATGATCATCCATTGGATGATAGATAAAGTGAATTCATGATGAAATAACTGGCAAGCTACCCACATGATCATCCATTGGATGATAGATAAAGTGAATTCATGATGACATAACTGGCAAGCTACCCACATGATCATCCATTGGATGATATATAAAGTGAATTCATGATGACATAGCTGGCAAGCTACCCACATGATCATCCATTGGATGATAGATAAAGTGAATTCATGATGACATAACTGGCAAGCTACCCACATGATCATCCATTGGATGATAGATAAAGTGAATTATTTGCAATTACACTCAATCGATCACAAAATAATTTGATATTGCTCTCAACTAATCACAAAACAATGTTACAATTATCTCTCACTCATTTACAAAACGTGGCATTGCTCTAAAATCACAAAACAATGTGACATTGCTCTCAACCAATAACAAGACAATGTGACATCCAGTTGAACTTTGCCTTTCCCAAAACCGGAGCAGTCCAGGCTAAACCCAGGGTCTATACGTACCTAGGGGCTTCCTCAATAACTTTTTGGTTTCTTCGTTGAATGGAACATTCTCTCTCATTGAGCCACAGACTATTACCATGTTTGTCACACAAGACCTACAACACAAGGTAACAAACATGCAATAAATATATTCAATATTATTACTTTACCTATTTATCAATATAATAATGACTTTACATGTATCTCAATATTGATGACTTTACCTTGTTACGCACTGTCTTTTATTGTGAGAAATTAATCTCTTATTTTAATTTTAATTGGCTCGTTGTAAACAGTGCCTAACAAAGGAGGATACCATAGAGTCAACAATATTAAAGATAGGACACCCAAAACAGTTGCTAATTACAATAAGATTTATTAAGTAATAATGTAATTACAAAACAAAAGAAATATCATGACAAATCATCAACTTACAGTATGGTAGATCTTGTACCGGTACACAATTAGTACTATGTGCCAATGAATAATGATGAATGATCAATGTGAATAAACACATATAAGCACACAATGAATGATAAACATCTCGTGAAGGTAAAAATATCTATCTGAATCTCCATCTCTCCGTATCTGTCAATCCCTTATATACATGTAGCGTAAGACGCTTCCAGAAAAGAATTATGACGTGTTGTTTACATTTCTCGGGTTATCGAGAAGATTCGACAAGATACCAGGAGACATACTACCCAATGTGTAATTGGCAGTGGTTGTAAACAAGATACATCAAAGAGAATTTAAACCACGCCCACAACAAACGCTACCATCTGCTAGGGATCTAATTTAGGTCAAGCAAAGTTCACACACGGGGAATGTGTGCTACATAACAACCTGTATATCAATAAAAGGACTTTACCTCTATATAAACTTTGAAATGACTTTACCTGTATATTAATTTTGTAATGACTTGACCTGTTTTTTATTTTTATTATAACTTCACCTGTATCTCAATAAAAGTACCCGTTTTTCATTTTTATAACGACCTCACCTGTATCTCAATATGTCGAGGATGTTCTATATATTTTTCAATCAGCATTCAGTCATCTCCAAAGCTGGATTTAGCTTCCTGTTGGGACAAACGAAAAGCTGACCTACAAGAAAGAAGACATGATTTATTGATATTTGTTTTTATTACATACCGATACTCAAACTTTTGCCACTTATATTTATAGACTCCCAGGGGAGAGATTATTTAAATTTTTGTTTAAATTAAGCCTTTATTTCAAACAGTTGAATGTTAAAAGTTAAAAATGGGGTTTGAACACAACAACAATAACACTAATAGACATGAAAACAAATCTGCATTTCTGACCTGGCTTCCTCATCACTATGGGCTATTCTCATGCCCTTCCCACCTCCACCCGCAGAGGCCTTGATCATCACAGGGTACCCTGCAACAGAGGAGATCGTTCGTAGCAACCAAATTTTTGTATTGCTCATACAAATCACAACAGTGATATGCAGCAGTGCTTCTCAAACTTAAAACATTCAGTCGGTAGCCCTAAGCAGTCGTTCTCAAACTTTAGTAGACTTGTGACCCCCTTGTGATAAAACTTTAACAGTGCACTCCCTTAAACTATGTTTCCTTACAGTTCAATGTAATATTGTTGCCCATGATTTAAAATTCATCTCCAAAAAAATCTTGAGACCCCCCCAGAAACGGTCTTGTTGTTGACTACCCAAAGTGTGAGAATCTTTGGTCTCAGTGGAAAATTAAGAAATTGGTGTACACTCAGAATTTTATTTGTCTAAGACAAAATAGGTAATATTGCTGTTTTAAAAGAGTGGATCTAAAAAAAAAAAAGTCATGTACCAATAGAATTGGCCAGTTCCACACAGTGGTCAGCGTCTCTTATTGCCCCATCATAGCCAGGAATCATGTTGACCCCCGCCTTCGCTGCTATACGTTTGCTTTCAATCTTATCT